CCAACCGCCCAATCCGTCATGATCAATGTAGGCTCGCCTCGGCGAGGTGTAGTTGCCCCCAGTCACTGAGCGGAGCGATACCGTGGTTCAAATCATTTGCCATCAATCGGTCGATTGATCGTCGGAACTTTTATTTACACTAAAGCTGCACTGTTGTATGCCGATACCCCTCACTTCAGCTGGCTACAGCTTCATTAGGGGTCTTGGACACGTCGACCATTGGTTCGCTCTTACATCCACTACTACCCTGGATACCACAACGGAGAATCTCAGATTCGATGATCCTTTAGAACACCGAATTATTATTCCCTTGCTTCTATCGCTTAGGACATCTGCCCCGCAACAAAAGACCAGCTCAGATGCAGATCGTTCCCATAACCGATATGCTCAGCCTCCTCGGCAAAGTTTACACTAATTCAGTGACCATCAACCCATCATTGGCAGCACGTCTTTGACCAGACCTGCAGTGAACTTGCTGGCGGAGGGGCTACGGTCTCCACTGGTGAACTTGTATGTACGATCGGGTACTTGCCGACTTCGCATGACGCGCTTCATCTAGCAATACGGCACACACGTAATTGGTCCAATAATGCCTCAAGAGTGATGAATCCAGAATAGTTATAGGAGTTCCATTTATTGGATGAAGCTAATGCCATAAATCATAGTCACATGTCTGGCCAGGCTATATAATGCGGGTTGTCGCGCAAATCCCAACAAAGACCTGGTGAAACACCGCAGTCCTCCAAGTGAGATAATACCATCCAGAACACAAGACATAAAAGACAAAATGGTAAGATCATACCCAGTCATACTTCCTTATTTAGTCTAACATGCCATACCTATACGACAGGGCCGCTACTCACGTGAAGAGATTAACCATTGGAGGGAAAAGTTCAGGGAGATTGTGAGTGTATACAAGTTTGAAGTGACCAATCCACGCAACTGTTGCTAATTTCATTAAATTTAAAAGAACACCAACGGTGACCGTAAGTGCCTTCGCTATAGAACTACTGACTCACACGACTCATTTACTATACCAATTAGGTTATATCGAACCTAAAGAGCTTATTGCAGCTGCTCAAAAACACGGTCTTGATATGAGCGACGAGGAGGCCGAATTATGGATTAACGAGCTGGATGAGAATCACGATGGTAAAGTCTCATTTAGCGGTATGTTACTCTTGGAATCCCAACTAGCATTCAACCTTGGTTGCTTGTACTTACTGCAATGGATAGAGTTCATTAAAGCGTTCGGAGAAAGAATGCAGAATAAGTGATCTAGGATCCTATTCTTATATTACGTTTCTCTGCAGGCATTACTATTGAATCAAGCACTTAGTCCAGTCGGCAGTTTTGAAGTATCAGTACTGGCCTATGGCTATTGTAGCTGACGTGTTAAAGTCTCTATGAAGAAATCAGTTGATGCATCATTTGAGGGTTTATATTCAAGTAGTTCTAGTACTAAGGGCTGAATCAAGCCTGGAGGCCGATTTAGGGGTTTGGGGAGGGTTACATGGATTCCCCGATAGACTCTGAATATTGGCTAGGATGTAGTAGAAATAGCCGCGTCAACGCATTCCTGGACACTTTGTAGATATATGCATGAATTTGTAAAACGTATGAACGAAGTTTACAAAGCAAATACCCCTAATAGACCAGGGCAGGGGTAAAGATTGATATGCGATCCGAAAGAAAGGTAAGGATGTAACAGGCTGACCTAGTTGATACCCTCTGTTCTGAATTAGAATATTACTTACTATAGCTTCACACCAGCTAAACCTTGAAGTGTACACCAGTAAATTCAAAAGACGACATTCAATCACGGGATAAGAACCTTCGCTCTTATTGGATTGACAGAAATGGGTACTGATACTTCAATTCTCTGACATATACCCGCTAGGGCTACGGTTTCCGCTTGCCGTTATTGCGCGGGGTCTAATCGTGCCTTAGAATGGGACCCAGAATAATTCTACGGATTTTACATAGAATCTATTGGAGAAATTCACAAACCATAACAAGAGCCATATACTGGCCAGGATATATAAGGTGTGGTTATCGCACAATTTCAAACATGCTCTGGTGCCATCCATAAAAACCACAGACTACCAGTGAAGTGAGACGACTTCAAGCAATATGTAAGCGCGTATAAGTGACCCTTCTACATTGCTACTGATTTCATTGAATATAAAACAATACCGAGAGTAACCCCGAGTTGGGCCATGCAGACCATAGGTACCCTCTCTAAAGAACCACAGTCTCCAATGGCTCATGCATTACAAATGAGTTTGCTGAAAAGTCCGAGAACAAACATGAGCCCAAGAAGGATGCATAGTTGGGGATAACTGAGAGACAGACGATGGCATTGAATCCCATTCTTGTTATAGGTTTCCAGACAGGTTTAACCTTTTAACGTTGAGCAGTCGACCAAGGAAGCATTCTTATGGTACTTTCACTGGTTTTATAACCATTGTAGCTGTACTAGCAACTCTACGTTGATATCAACTAAGAATCATACAGCTCAAGCCCCCATGTCCAGCGCTTATAGTCAAGTATTATAACCCTTTAGGGTTAGAACCATAACTGGAGTATAAAACTCTCGAGAGCCCGAGCCGGCAACGGGCTCTTCAAGAACCAGAGAAACAGAACTTCCGAACCTGAAATCTACCTCTGGTCTTTGCCAAACCCAGGTGACCAGTGGGGAGGCTTGGGGAGTGCTTTGTGGGTTCCCAATTAACTCTTACGATTCGCAAGGATGTAGCTATTGGTAGTATTCTGGACTGGGAGTTTTGGTCCTTTATATACGATGTTGAGATGATTACTATGACACATCCATTTGATTGTCGAAAGGTATAGTGGCCATTGATGAATAGTTATTTATTTACTATTTGATGGCTAGCGACTCTCTAATTACCAGTGATTGGGTCGAGGTGTTCGCTAATCGGTTACTAGTTCGGGTAGAACGATGAACAGTGTATCTTAAGAGTATAATAATCTCCTATATCTACAAAATATTAGTACCTAATAACTCCCTACCCATCTTAGCCTACAACCGCTACTCAAATACCAAAATAAATTTTCTTTCAAGGTATACCTTATATAGGAATTTTAGGGAAATCTTCGAATAGCTGGGATTGTAGAATATAAAAACGTTACAAGGTAAAGACTTCAACAGTCTAACATTACATCAACAGATAAGAATACCATGTGGCCTTTTCAATTATTATGTTCGATATAACTCTATTCATTTAAAGTATACTAGATTAGCTCTTCGAACATGGACAATGAGCTCTTGTAGACATCTAGATGCAGATTGTGAGAAGGTTTGGGGCCTGTAAAGCAGCCAGTCATAACAAAGCAGGTCAGTGGTAGAAAGAATCCACCCAAAGATCTATAGAGTCTAGGAGGTAAAGGAATGCTGATGGCAACAAGAAATGCCATACATAATGGTCTGTGACGACAAGTTCAAAACATAGGTTGCACGTTGGCCGTGGAACATGGTCAGGGAATACTGTAGCTACTATTATAGCTCAGCTCACTACAGGTTAGGCGGCTAATGCTGCAACGATCTGCTCAACGGCCTCATATTTTGCTCGAGGGAGTAAGGCCTTTGTTTTGGTTGTGTCCATACCCTTTGCTCTAGCCATGTTTCAAGCTGGCGACGGTTAGCATCTTTCGAGCTTCAGCAATTCAAATGGTAACTAACTCGTGTGAATCTGGTACCAATCCAAGTGAATACCGTGAGAAATGTCAGGGAACCTCCGATTATGAGAAACCACCACCACCTCGGGTCATCTTTGAGGATGTCTACGTTCATTCCTAGAAGACTCTATATAGGTTAGGCAATAGTATGGCATCAGTGTTCATGGTACCTACAGAGGCAAACATTAGAGGGAGGAATATGAACTAGGCTTGTCAGTCAGCGTCCAAGTGAGCTGGAGTTCATTACCTTACCGTGATCCAGCTAATCCGCTTCATGCTTGCGGCTAGACTAGTCGATCGGTGAGCTTCATTGATTGACACCCATGCAAATTCCTGCGCAATATCGTATCACAGTTAGATCCTCAGCACCACCGCGCAGCGAAGGAAATAACCGCTTACCACTTGAAGCAAGTCCCTAATCCCCTGTTCCATTTTATCGATCTGACATGAAACATCATGCTCAAAAGTAGTGATAATCTTACCCATGTACTCGCTGAGCTGGCGACTTTCGGTGAATGTTTGGTACTGTGCGACGAATTCCTTCGCCTGGTTGAGTTGATCTTCTAGCATCCATTGCATTTGGGTCCATCTTTGCATATTTCCCGCTATAGCGTCAATTAGGAAGTCGTCTTTTCCAGCAGCGGCCAGCTGATACGATCGCTACCAGACCAGTCAACTTCTGTGCCCTCAGCAACATCTGCTCGCTCGCCTGCTTACCAAGTGCCCAAGGTTTCTCCTTTCATCTCGACAGAAGGTTATCCAGTCGTCCTTCCATGTTTGCATGAAAAGCTCAATAAGCTCCAAGTCGCTTTGCGGGGTCCAGCCAAATGGCAGATTGCTGAAGTAGTGAATTGTTTTCGGAGGGGCTTCAAGTACCGACCATTCAATTGTTCGGACGCGATGGTGTTCGCCACTGTTGTCGTCCAGCGAGTCCTGGGGGGCCTTCATGTTCTGGAAATGCATGACGATGGACAGACTAAACGTCCTGCACGGACTTCTGTTGCCCAGAGAAAACCTTAATTCGTTGGGGAGATTGTCCATCTGGCAATACGTGTTCCATGTCTGGTTCTCTCGAAAGAGTCTGATGACAGATGGAAGGTAATCAGCTAAGATGATATACATAGAGGCAAGTTCAACTCACATCAGATGACTCTCGTCCGGGCTCTTTGTCAGTTTTCTCATTTTTTGGTCGAATGTGTCCTCCGGAATCCACTCTACAGCCTGTCGCCCGTCTTTATACGTCATTATATCCACGGCGATGCTCTGCTGGATGTTGCTTGAGTACTGCGCGAAGTCATCATCATCGTCCTCGATCTCTAGAATTCGAGCACGTTTGCCGAGTAGAGTGGCAACTGCGGTGCGATCACGCTCCTGGATTGTCATTTCCATTACTGGTATAGAGGAATACCCATCCCAGTTCGCTTTATTCAGACCCACTAGAGGTTCAGCCGCTCTCAATGTGCTACAGGGTCCAAACCAATCGCTACTTCTCAGCCCCTGCGTACTTGCTTTGTAGTCTAAGAGGAGTCTCACGGTCGGCCGGTCACTTTGCTGGAGGGCCATCCTCATGAGAGGGATTGCACTGTACGTATCTTCCTCCTTTAGATTGGACTTGTATCGCTCTAAGAACAGTTTTAATAGACGGGATCGACCTTCTCGTATTAGGAGATGCAGTGACACGCAGTCCTTTTTCGTTCTCTCCGGGTCTACCCCAGACATAAGTATGTCGGCAATTTCGTAGTGTTTCCACTCCAAAGCATAGATAAGCGGCGTTTTCCTATGGCGATCAATCGAGTTCGGGTCCGTCCACTTCGTTCGGAGCAATTCCTGCACCAGCTGCTGGTCGCCTCGCTCACAAGCCCAGGCCAGGAATGTTCGTCGCTTCTTGGTAACAGGTTCTATGCTTGATTTGGGGCCAAGAATTGAACACCACCGCTGGAAGTCCACCGAGTCTTTGGCAATTTCTCGATCAGTTGGATTAGTTCGGTCTGTATGGTTTAGAAACCACCACAAGGGTATCTGGCCCTCATTATCACGGATCTCCACATCGGCACCATGGTTAACCAATGTCTCCACTATGTGTAAATGTGAGTTTTCAGCAGCCCAAGATACCGGTGTCCGACCGCGTTTGTCTCTACTGTTAGAATCCGCACCGCCGTCAACCAAAAGTCGCTCGACAAGCAAGCTATGTCCCCTCTCAGCAGCTCGAGATAATGGCGTGCGGCCCCATTTGTCTGGGAGGTCCGGTAGAGCACCCTTTTGCAAGAGTAGACGCACCATCTCATGATCACCTGCCTTTGCCGCCCAGTGCACGGGTGTTTCTCCCGTATGATCTCCGAGGTCGGGGTCAGCGCCTCTAGCAATGAGGAGGTCAAACAGAACTTCTGCATTGAGATGATTTGGGAGATCTTGCTTTGAATCGAGTGAAACAGCTCGGGAGAAGATCGTTCGGCCCGTCCGGTCTTGTATATCAGGGGATACGCCATCGAGGAGAGATTGTGCAGCATTGATGTGACCTCGCTCAATAGCTTGCATGATATCTGCCATGCGGAGCTCATCCAGTACTTGACGCGTGGCGTTCGTGACATTGTGCATTTTAATTGACCTTGAACCGTCAATTGTCCAATTTTAGAATTTTGGAAGGATATAAGCCAAAACTTTAATGTCAGGTATTTATACCTTTCTGTTTTGGTTTAGTTCCAATCTATTCCCCGCATAATTCATTCCCTCAGCCATTGATTATTGACGCGATCGATGGTCAGAAGTGAGATGATCATCCGTCAGTCTGGCCCTAAACATACTTGTTCTAATTGAGCTTAGCAGCTCACGTGCATAAATATTTTAATTGCGGGATATATCTTCTTAGGCTCTTATCGATTAAGATATCATTCCAGCTGTCCTTGAGTCTAAAAATGCATTAAATATGCTTCTCATTTACAAGTGTATACCGATATCTGGCTAGACCGTTGTCCATATCGATAAATGCCTGGTTCGCGTCACTGAGCGGCCGTTCCACCACCCATGGCTGAACATTTTTCTCAACCGCCAGCTGCAGCATCTCCTCGATCTCCTTCGGTGACCCGATAACGCTGCCTGAAAGCGACTTCCCTTTCGGAATGAAGTCGAACGCGTGAAGAACAGGAAGCTGATCCTCAGGCGCACCCACCTGGACCAACCGACCATAGGAATCCAGCAAGCCCAAGTAGTCCCGTAGCGGCATATCTGGCGATGAAACCGTGCAAATAATGAGATCTAAACTGGCGGCATGAGTCTGAGCCCAGTCCTTCTCATCCTCGGTAGCGATGTAGTCATCGGCACCTAGTTTCAACACATCTGCACGCTTGGACTCCCTGCGTGAAACCCCAACCACCCGATCGGCGCCAAGAGCCTTCGCCCACAAAATCGCAAAATGACCCAGTCCACCTACACCGATCACTCCAACGCGCTTGCCCGGTCCGCACCCGTTCGCCTTCAATGGTGTATACGTTGTGACCCCACCGCAGAGCATCGGAGCCGCGTGGGCAGGGTTCAGCTGGTCGGGGATTTTGATTACGAAATGGCCCGGAGCACGATTGTAGTCGGCGTGACCACCGTAAGACTTGCCGCCGTTCAAATAGACGCCATTGTAAGTGTCAGTGCGGCCTTCTCTCCAGCAAAGGTTCTCCCGCCCCGAAGAGCAGTCGTTGCATTTACCCGTTCGGTTGCGACAGGAGTCAGACTGTGCGCCAACTCCAACACGGTCGCCCACTTTGACATGTTTCACTTCGGATCCCACCCGCACGGCGATACCGACAATCTCGTGGCCGACCACGCACGGGTACATGGTTGGGCCCTGGCAACAGTGTGTTAGTAGCTATAAGTGAAGAGGAAGGGGAAAAGATTGCCCAGGAACAAGGGGAAGATAATACGAACCCATCCACTACGAAGCGTGTGTATATCAGATCCACAAATACCGGAGTGAGTGATTTTAATATCGACGTCGGTTTCTTCCCATGGTTTCGGTTCATAGGTCTGCCATTTCATGTTACCAACGGAGTCCTTGTCAAGGCCCATCCATCCCTGGAAGACGTAATCAGAATTGCTGTCGCTAGTCATGATTGGAAGTACAGCTGTAGTCGATAGAGAAGGAGATAGCGAGGAGTAGTAAGGAATAGTGAAAGACACGGAGGAGAAGCTGGATCCTTACCCTGTATTTATACTAAACCCACCCGTGTGGATTTACACCGCTCTACATGCAGTAATCAAAGCAGCCGGAGATTAGATGAATGGATATTCTGATGACAGTCCACCGGTTTTACAGTGTGGGGTAAATCGGGTAGAGTGGAGAACAGCTTCGGACATATTTTCCTGGGCGGTTTGCCACTGTTATGGAAGATCGAGAATGATAAGACATAGGACGGGCCGTGATCATCTGGCAACTCAGGGTATAGGGGGCTCCATTCTGAATTCTTTATAGCACACTACGATAGTACAGAGTACAAGGTATGACGCTCTGTGGTGCTAATGTAAAGTGCGTACGAAGTCCACCTCATGAACGAACTGCCCCGAATGGCATACTAGTAGGATATGATGCAATCGTGAGTTTGAACGGTGAACTAATGCAAGCTGTAACTTCCTAAGTCCCTACAAGAAAACTTTGCAGACCCGTATGACTTGGATCTCGGCGTTTGAAACGGATCGGGAAGGCACATCAGCACCTTGCATAAACTCGACTCTAGGATGTCCATTAGTGGACTCTTCCAACTTATTGGTGTCCGGTCTATCTATAGGATAAGCAGAGAGTATTATCTAGATAAAGACTCTGTAGAGTGGGCCCTCCCACACCGTCCCATTGTCCGCCGCAATGCAAGCTGCTTACGCCAAGCCTACTAACTCCGACTAGGGGCGAACTGCATCTACACCGATAAAATGCGTGCGATATGTCTTTTAGTTGCTTGAGCGATGTTGAAAACTCTCGAATATTGGCCAGACGCTGATTATGCACCGTCTTCCATGGAAGGATGGTTTAGCAAGGGCTGAGCCGGCAGAACAGTAAGGCTTAACGACGAGCCGCCCGTTTATCCCCGCTACACATTGTTCGCTGTAAGTGGGGACCGCCACGATTCTACTATCTAGGTTTGCTCCGGATTTAGACGATGTGATATACTTGATATAGAGTGATGATGTTAGTGACCCTCCTTTTGTCATAATTCTGAGCTGTGGTTATGGGCAATGCTAAGTCTTTTTAGGCTTCTTGGTTCGGGGTGTTGAAGAGGGCAACACTAACCCAGCCCTAACCATAACTACGGATAGACAAGACGGCGAACAAGAGGTGAGATTAGCATTGGCCTACTGTTCCTATCTATGGCTTCGGGAACCAAAAGGAGATCATGGTGATTTTGATGTTGCGCTCATAATCTCCACGTACAAGGCCAATAGTGGAACTCATCTTGCTCACCTCACCTCAGGCTATAATGAACTAACACAAATATCGAATTTGTAAAGTGTGACGATAATTAGTAGCCGCTTCTACTACTCACGGGTTGGTTGAATCGACTTTATCGGAGGGAAAGTATAGAACGGAAGGCACATAACAACGTCATTGGAAGGGGTGGCGACGACTCTCAACAGTCGACTCTTGAAGGATAACATACCACTATATTGAAACTATTACTTTAATAGGAAAATATAAATTTCTGGGCATAAAACCGCTGCCTGCTAATATGTCGATTCGCCAGTCCAGAAGATGAATTAGACATAACAGCATCTACTACTTTATAGTGCGAATGTCTGCCTAGTAGTAGTGAGTAACAGCTAAACTACCTGACTCCGGATCAATGGGTCTTGTAAAATCGGCCTCTTTGCGAAGGTACTCTCCAAGGCACTAGGGCTACGTGTTAAGACAATATATCCTATGCACAGATATTCATTGGCAGTTCCCATAAAGAGTGGTGAGATTCATGTCGCTTTTCGTTGTCCGATAGCACTGTCCCTTGCAGCTCGAGCCACGTTAGCTGATACAAGTGATCTGTATTGATTTGTCACTAGGCTATCCTTCGGGGAAGCATTAAGAGCAAGGTTATATTATCCACAGATACTGCCCTCGCTATGACGATTACATAGAATGCCAAAATGAGAGGATAGGATGTAGACTTACTCTATCGAGTGAAGCAGGATATTTCTGAGGTTCAGAGAAGTGTCTACCGTAGAATATGAAGAAAAGAGGGAAGCTACATGCCGCGTGCTTCGACATAAGCTAATGAGTAAAGAAGCTCTACAATTACAAACATACTCTTAGAATTTTATAGGTACTCCCAACCTGGTCATGCTTCTCAAAAGTTCTTCTGTGTCCTTCGATGTTTCTCTTTGTCAATGTACTCTAGTTATATATGATTGCGCAAAAGGCATTGTACTTCAGTTCGTGAAAGTATCGAGGCAAGTCACATATGCATTTGAATATCTTATGTTAAGTGTGCTTTCAGCTATATCACGTACTTTTTGATACAGTAAACCCACATTCTCAACGGCACAGAGTTATGAGTAAATTAAACTCGGGGCAATCATGCCTTCCACTCCCTGCAACCAAGCAAATATGGCTCTGTATAGAACACTGTTCAAATGCTCACTTCTGAGCTAAAACACTAACAACAGGTTGAGATCTCTCATTCTTTACCCGGATTACCTCCCTCCAGGAATTTGAAGAACGTCAATCGATTCCCATCATGATCTCTGATAGTGAACTGTCGAAAGCCCCATGGCATGTCTTCAATGTCCTCGGTAATCGTCACCTCTCCACGGCCTTTCAAGTATCGGTAGTACTCGTCTAATTCCCGAGTTCCAAGTGCGATCATGGCTTCGGACGGTTTGAATTGTTCGACAGAAACCTTTGAAAAGTAGAAATTGGCGTCGGCCTTTTTACCCATGAAAACGGAACAAAAGGCCAATTCGGACGTGTCATCTTCGGGTTTAACACTGCCAAGTTCGAAGCCCAGAATTTTAGTGTAGAATTGGACAGTGCGAGAAATTGAAGTCGATTGAAACATGGGAATTACTTTCCATGCGGATTTGGTTGTATTGGTAGCCATTTTATAATTATGTCAAGGGTTGGGGTGCTTCTATCACAATATCCACCAGGTATTTAATATATATATTAGGGACAACCCTCACTGCTGCCTATTGTTGCCTAGTTGGATTAGTAAGACAGAACCTAATTGGAGACGCTGCTAATTCCATGTATAGAGAAGGTATTGAGTTTCGAAGGCTAATGTACGGTGCCCTTCCTGGGCAATCTTATATTCATGCTACTAATGGAATACCCCTGTAGTGGGTAGAAGTCCTTGCAAGGCCCGTCAAAGTATAGCAGCCCTACCTTCTAATAGACTCAAATAAACTTTCTTGATCCTCTGGATCCCCTCCGCCAAATCCTCATTGGAAACTGCAAAGGTGACGCGCATCCATCCTTTCTGCCCCTCGGGCATATGGTATGCTCTTCCTGGCACAATGGCTACACCTGCCTGCATGTACGCGCGCAAGGCGAGCATCTCCTCATCCCAGGTTGCTGCATCGGGTGCCAGCCGAGCGAGGACAAACACCGTCGCACAGCTAGGGAAATACTCAATTCCGGTGGCTTTAAATGCAGTCGTCAGAGTCGTGTATGTCTCTGCCAGTTTGGTAGCACTGAGAGTCAACAACTTTGGTAGCTGTGGTGAGGCAAGCACTTCCTTCGCAAAGACGGTGGACAACACTGATACATGTACGGACGCCACGAGTCCCACAACATCCCTAAGGGGCCGGTTGCGGGTGATGACACAGCCCTAAATATTGGTCAGGATTCGGCCAGTCATACAGGGAAACAGAACCGGGGAACAGCGAGCATACCAGTCGAACGCCACTTGCCGAAAGGTCCTTGCTCATGCTCCACACGACATGGATGCGTTGCGGATCACATCCGACGTGAGAAGGGTCAATGCTTAGACAGGAGACAAAGGACTCGGGGTTCGTAAAGTCGGGGCTAGCGAAGCTGCTGAGCGCAAACACCTCGTCTGAAACAAGGTGGATGTTCCGCCGTTGGCAGAAAGACATGCATTGTTCTAGGATTGATCGAGAGTATGGTCGACCGAGAGGGTTGTGTGGGTTAGCGAGTACGAGCGCCTTGATCGGACAAGGTGCATTCTCGTACGACTCTTCCAGCGCCGAGAGGAGAGCCGGACCGAAAGAGTCCTTGAGAGAGGGCACCACAACACCAACAGGCCGGACCTCGGAGTGCAAAGCGAAGAGTGCATCATATCCATCTTCAAACATTTAGTAACCATCAATAGCCATCGTGGGAAACTAGCTCACTCACTCCAGTACGGACACGGGACGAGTACACCGTCACCCGGATTGCAAATGTTGTACAAAATAGCATCCAGACCAGCAGCTGCTCCAGCTGTCACAGCAATATTATCTGATGCTACCTTGAAATGGGGGCGGAAGTGAGTGTTGACTGTACTCGCAAGAAGATCAAGCAACGTCGCATCGCCGAAAAAGCCCTTGGGCCAATCTAGATGCTGAAGCCGGTCAGCAGTGCCTCTGGCTGGTCCTTGGGATATACAGCTAGGCGGCTATCTACCTCGTAATGCAGACTTGTCTCGATAGCCGCTTTGGCTAACTGAATAATTTCATGGCGGATAACCCGGTTCTCCGCCATGGACAAATCAATCTCATCGCGATGCAAGGCTGGATGCAAGACATGGGGCGGAATTCTGCCAAGCACCTGAGTGACATTCAGGCCACCGCGATTTGATAATAGGCCATCAACGTTCGTCATGGTCGATATTGCAGGTTTGAGATGCTGTTGGCCAAGGGGACGTTTCTCAGCACCATGGTAGACGCCAGTTATATCCGCTAATATGCTGATGATAATCCCTGGACGCCCGTGCCCTACTCCGCCCCCAGCTCGTATAAACTATATTAATTTATTCATTATTAGCCCCCAATCACACTCTTGGCTGGGGCATAGTCGTCTCGTAATTTTCAGAACTGTACGATACCGACTCAGTACCATGTCTCATAGAAACCATGTATCATGACCATAAGCCCTAATAGATTGATACGGCATGTTCACTTGTACATCAATCCAACTATATAAATACAAGGATAACCATATCGCAGCTCTTCTTCGCTCGCCATCTTCACTCCCCAGCACACCATCATTGATACTCTAAGGCCTCGTGTCACCTCTTCTCCCCATGGCCACCATAACCACTCAAACCACGTCTTCCCCGGCCCAAAATGCCAGCATCAAGCTCAACATCACCGCCCCACTCCCATCCCCTCCACAGCCAACCAAGAAGACCAACATCCTCTCCTCCCTTCCCCCCTCCCTGGTCCCCTACGCCGAGCTGATGCGCCTCCACCAACCAGCCGGTATCTACGCCGCCTACGTCCCGAACCTCATCGGCGTCTTCCTCGCCGCCGCCTCTCCAATCCTCACACCTTCCCACCGACCAACCCCCACCCACCTCCTCTCCCTAACCATCCTACATGCCCTCAGCAACACCCTCCTCCGCGGCTCCGCCTGCGCCTACAATGACGCCCTCGACGCCCCCTACGACCGCCAAGTCGCCCGATGCAAGAACCGACCCGTAGCACGCGGGGCCGTTTCCGCCCTGCAAGCACATACCTTCGCCTTCTTCTTGGGCCTCTGCTGGATCTTAACCTTATCCATTCTCCCCTCCACCAGCTACATACCCGCGGCCCTTCTCGCCGCGTCAATGGCCTTCTACCCTTTCTGCAAACGCATCACACATTTCCCCCAGTTTGTCCTGGGCCTATCCCTAGCTCTTAGTCAGGGGATCGGGTATGGGTCTCTTGGAGTGGATGTTCGAGTCCTCCACTCAAGCACCCAGATCGCTCTGGCGTGTTTGTACGTGTCGTATGTAGTGCATACAATGATCTACGATACAGTGTATGCGCACCAGGATCTACAGGATGATCTGAAGGCAGGGGTTCTCAGTATGGCGGTGTTATGTCAGGGGAGGACGAAGATGGTGCTGACCGGCTTGGCGGCAGTGGAGGTTGGGTTGCTTGGAGTAACGGGCTGGATGATGGGGTTTGGGGGCATGTATTGGGGCGGTGCGGTGGGGGGTTCGGCGGTTGTGTTGGGGAGGATGATTTCGGTGGTTAAGTTAGAGGAGCCAAAGGATTGCCGGCGGTGGTTTGAGAGGTTATTGTGGTGGACTGGGGCTTGCGTTATTGGGGGTTTGGTGGGGGAGTTTTGGCTGAGGGGTTAGGGGGATACTTTAGTAGTTTTTTAGGGGGTGGGTTTCGTGTGTATATTTTGGGGGGTTGGGATTTCGTATAGGGTCTTTTCTGGGGTGGGATTATGTAGCTTCGTTGTTTGATACAGGCTTGGTGTCTATATAAATTGAAGTTCCTTCCGGAATACACATATATGGGGGACCTGAGAGTGAGGACAAATAGCTTATGCTGTTGTATGAGAGTAGTAGGAGAACACTTAATTGGAAATGGGCCCCACGATAATGAACCAGTGTTCGTAATCATAAGAGTTGATATCAGTCATCTTATAGGCATGATGACCATTCTCCATCAACGTACACTGGTATCTACAGCTAGTATCTCAGTCAAATGCATTCATGGGAATCACTACAAGATGATTGTTCTTAATAACAATTCATTGGAGTATAGTAGCATTATTAACACAGTTTAGCACTAATCAAACATAATTATACTTCGCCAGCACCCTCAACCAGATTCAATATCCGTTCCACGGTTGGGTTATCATACACCACCTTGGGCTCCAACAACTCCTTCCCTGGTCGCCACTTGATAATGTATGTGTTCAGGGCGTTAGTCAAATCGATAACCACCAAGGAGTCCAACCCAAATTGAAACAGATCCGAGTCATCCTTGATGTCCCTGATATCGATATTCTCACCCAGCTGGTCGTAAATGACCTTCTTCAACTCAGGAGGTCCCGTCTGGACTGCCTCCTCCACACCATTAGTAGTCTCAGCTACCCCATTCACCTTTCCATTGACATGCACCGATGGCCTCTCAGGGACACTCTGTGGCCCCACAGCCGGCAACTGCCCCGTCAACCCAGCAAGCAACCGCGCCAACACATCCTGAACAGCCCGTTCAACGGCCCCAGGTAACACCCGCTGCAAGGCCTCCTCCACTCTACGATCCAGATCATCACCACCACCATTCACTTCCACAGGCTCCTTCTCCTCCCCTACCTCCAGAGCCACGCCATCCTTCTTGACATGCGGTCTCATGCGCTCATACAACTCCCGAAACTCCTCCGCATACAACTTCAACACCTGATGCCGCTGCACAGTATCCTTCCCAGCCCTGGGCATCGGTTTCTCAGGCTTCGTCAACATCACAAAGCCACGCATGATACGTCCATGAGCCGGACAATCCCGATTCGCCTGTAGGATACTAGGCCAGATATCCCGGATAAACTGGTCCTCTTCCTCCTTACTCTGGGGATATGTATAAGGTTCAATGAGCACGGAGGCCTGGAACTGGCCCTGGCCGCCCACGACGGCGGACTTGACTTTTGCGTTTGTGGAAATGACCGTTTCCATGGTAATGGGATTGAGTTTCTCGGCGGTGGTAAAGGCAATGATATCATCTGTGCGGGCGCGGAAGACCCATGATTCTGGTCGGTGGGGGTGTTGTTCGAAGAGATCGCCCATGGCGAATTCATCTTTATCCGGGAAAGTGCGGAACACGCCTTGGAAGAGTTCGAAGCGTGGGTCCCGCGTGAAGATAAGGTCGGAGAGGCCGTCGCGGTCTTTACGGAATGAGTGGCCCAGGAAGGGGCTGATGGTGAGATATTGCCAGTCTGCGGGGTCGGGGTTGAGCTCTAGGGGGTGGAGGGCGGTTTCGCAGGAGCCCATCATGGTCATGAGTTTTATGCGGGTTGTGAGGACGTTGCCGACTTCTTCGGGGAGGGCGCCGCCGACGTAGGAGAGGAATTTGAGCCGTTGGACCATGTTTACGCAGTAGGTGTTGTGGTTGTAGCAGTCGACTATTAGGGAGGGGGCCATGAGGGCGCCGTCGAGGTTGCCGTGGAGGAAGGCTTGGTTGGCCAGGTCGGCGGTTAGGGGTTCTGGGGGCGGGAGGACGCAGGTGACGCCGCCGAAGATGTTGAATACGAGGGTGAAGGTGAGACATGCGGCGTGGAAGACGGGGAGCGCGAGGAAGAGGCGCTGGCCCGAGAGATAGTTGATTAGGGTTGGTTTGCCGCCGAGGGAGGGGATGAGCTGGTGGGCGTCGTTGCTGGCGAAGGTGCCGTAGGTTACGAAGACGGGCTTCGGGATGCCTGTCGAGCCAGATGTGTGTAGTACGCAGAACGGCTTGGTTTTGGCTTCTTCCCAGGTCAGAGTGAACGGGATCGGCTGGACTTGGTCTAAGCCTTCAAAAAAGAAGTCTACTTCAGGAGTGGCGATCTGCTCCATCGGGCGTGCGGCAAAGATCTGGCTCAGGATGGCCGGTGCGCGACTGGGCACAAGGACCGTGTCGCAGCCACTCTTGTCTAGTAAAGACAGATGGGCTTCTAAGCTATTGCGAAGTGAACTAAAGAAGGCCTGGATGGAATTAGTAATGCTAGAAACGTTATGAAGCATAAAAGACTCACCATATGGCCTGCCTTGGCCGCCGCCAGGATGATGATGAGGTATCGCACATCCAGCGGACCCATGTACAGAATGGTCTTAGGCATAGAGTCCTTGCCCAGCTGCTCACGCAGGTACCAGGCACATTTGTTCACGGCCTTGGCGAACGTGCCATAGGGAATATCCTTGTAACCATCGGCTAGATTGGAGCTCCTGGGAACTGAGACGAAAACACGTTGGGGATCGCTCTCGGCCACTTCGTCCAGCACGGCGGGCATCAGCCGCCGGCCACAGTTGCGCGGAACTTGGAGGTTGGGATTTTCGAAGACCATTGTGTATAGCAGAGCAGTGGTTCTGGTCCAGGAATCCTTGCTCTCTGGGAATATTGCCAAGTTTAAGTAGTGGATGTATGCAACCCGCGTGGGCGATGTACTGGATTAACTGGCCGACGCAGTAACATACGACCATCCCACGAGGGATACAGGACAGTATTCGTAATTACAGTACCCGTTTCTAGGCACACAGGCACGGCGGACGGCAAACTTGGCCACCTATGTTTAGCACTGCCTTAATCAATGTAAATCTTCTTCCTAAAGAAGAATATACCTCAGTTCATAATTCATACATGTTAATCTAATAGTGGGGCAGTATGCAGTAAGCGAAGATTATATCTTTAGCTAGGGGCCAAAAGTAACACTGACAAGGATACTGCTTATTGTTCCATCCATCGACTATCTTCAGACTTCAAGCCTCGAGTGCGCTCAGAAAAAGCAACGTGGGTGGGGGCCACGCTAACTCCAGACAATTTTAATTGAGCCTTGAGCTACGCACGGGCCTATCCTTCACACCCTTTCAGCCTTACCTAGGCTAAATTCTAACGTCAGACGGAGCGCCGCGTTGGCAGAATTGGCATTGGTCAATGGCATTCAGGTGGGGGTGAGACGTCGGGACTTACCTATCTTGAAGACTGCCCGTGCAGGTCTCCCCCCCGTTTCGCCCGTGTCTTACTATGCTAGATAGCATTGACAAACGCTTATTGGTGGGTCTAGAGATGTGACATCCGATCTGATAACCTATGGATGTATCGTCAAGGCTACTTGATCTTCAATCACTTGCCTGTTCGGGCAGAATACGTGTCAACCCCAGCTACACAATTCAATACGAACACAGGCTGCAGGCTTATGCACAAAAGAAAACTTCTCTAAGTGTAACAGTAGACACACTGGCATAATTCATTAACGCAATACCTAACAGACTCAGGAGCACCAGCTTTAGCCCCCACGTATGTACAGTTCCCCGCTCATACCATGTCTCTCGGCACTCTGTTTGGCAAGATCTGCTCCATACTCGTTGTAGGCAAATCCTTAGTGGACTTACCACCCGACTTATTCTGGAACGAGCCCGATCCATTACCGCCGGAACCTGATGATGTCTTAGATGAAGACCGGATCCCCAAGTATGACATCGTTTCTGATGTCAGTTTCAGGAATGGTGATGTTAGTGGTCGTAGCGCGGGCACGCTGCCGATCATCATGGCGATGTTACGTTCCATGCCCGCCCACATGAGACCCATCACGGTCGTGTAGGAGGCATCGCTGATCCCATTTTTGAGACCCAGACCGGATTCAATTGTGCGGATCGTGGCGAAGACGCCCGTTCTGGTCTCTTGTTAATCGAGATCTTGGGTGTATGAGTTAAGAGTCAGAAAGGGTGACTTACATCACACCCAGGCCCATCAGTCCACACAAGATGATCTTGTTTCCGCGACTGACCTGAAGGTCTTTGAAAAGGAAGAATGGTAGAATGGATAGGAAGTAATCTGTTACTGCCGACCAAGCTGTTGTTCGGAGTATTGTTAGTTGCTGTCCTGCGATATAGGGTAAGATAGCTCTGATGTCATATATGCATACCTCCCTGAAGCAATACAAGACTGATCTCAGTTCTAAATTCCCAGCATTTTCCAGGTATAAATGGATTCCAGGACTTGCGTGGTGGATCGCATTGTGCGTACAACGAGATAATAACCACAGTGTTGACCGCAAAGACCAGGAACGCAGTGAGGTAGCATGTTACCCGGAGCACGGTATGGCGCGATCCTTTCAAGATACGCAGATAGGATAGGCAAATAGAAATTTTCGCAAAGCTCAAGGCATTAATGCAGAAGACCTGCGAAAGCAGATCGTAGTACATGGCTGTGACGGCGTCATTTTTCGGGATGTAAATTAGGTGACGTCCCAGTCCTTTGTCGACGGCAATAAAATCGAAGACAGTCGCTATTAACGCTTGAACCTGAGGGTGGAAAGAATTAGTCGTCGATTCTCAAGAGTCTACAGTGGAATGCATAACATACCAAAGCAAATATCATAAGATAGTCATCCCAGCTCATGCGAGCATACACGCTGCGAGCTACGCCCCGCAAAGACACAACAATGAATGCGCATACAAAGGTGACCGTCGTGCCAACCAAGAGCCGGTAGCCGATGCTCACATCAGGCGGCCTAGAGCCTGCGATTTGATCCATGGTTGCAAGGGTCAACGACTCGGGGAATGAGGAAAATGGAGCTGGAGAAGGAGTTAGGAGGAGGGGTCAGGTCAGCTCCGAAAGAGTGGAAACTCGCGCATTGAAGAAGAAAACATCTGGTGGGATATCCAGCGGATAGCGGGGATATTGCAGGGTGTAGAGTCTTGCCACTGGCCCCATTGCAGAACTGTGCGTAAGGCACCACTTGTATGTGGAGAAGAAGGACGCAAGGCTGGATGATTATGCAGCAATACGAATAAATGTCACACTTTGTGCGTACAAGGGTTGGCATTCTGCACGCTAGGCTAGACAGAGAATGTGTCTCCGACTGCCAGCGGACAAGAACAGAAAATTGGTCGTCGATCAGTAGCACCACTCTCTTGTCACCTCTGGCATGCTGATGGATGATGGGTTACAATAACCTCTCTATCTTGCCGTGCTTACACCGCCACCCACTCAGTGCCTTACTTGTATTTGTAGCTTATTCCGACCCGCATTAGTGGGACAAAGATGGGGGCAAAAATAGAAATGGGATCAACTGCCAGCCAGACGCTGCGGGAAACATGGTGGGCGGGGTATGCAGCTTACAGGGTATATGATGAAGAGAGCACAATATAGTAGAAGAGTAGGCGAAGTCCAGACTCCAGGCTAAGCATGGATTAACTGCCCCGCTAGTTTAGGAAGCTCACGTAAGACTGGGGCCGCCGACTTGGCCGAGAAGAAGAGGCCAAGAGGCACGGCATATCACGTACTATCCGGATAACATTTCCTCGTCACTTGGCAAACAGCGCGAGAGCCAAACGTAAATCACCTCAGTTGGACCGCGAACGATAACAATTTCAACATTGAGTTCATTAGGTGTGCAATTATCAACGGAAGCTGTGTGGAATAGGAGATTACCCGAATTGTTCAATTTGTCGACTCGAGTCAGACAAAATGATGTAACTTGCAGAATTATCATGACTTGTATTCATCCCAAATGGAATAGTAAAATTATTTACAGAATCTTGCCCAAAAGCTCATTCAGTTCTTGCACCACAAACTCCGGGTTGTCCTTTTGGATAAAGTGACCCGCATTGGGCGCCTGCAGCGGTCCCTTGCTATACTCTGCCTCGGTAATCTTTGTCAATCCCTCGTTATACTTGTGCCAATATGGATTGACAAAGCGATTTGTGACGGGTTTGGGGGGGCCCATCTTGGCAGACTCTTCCGCAAAGGTGTCAAAGTCATGTCCCACCACGGTGACGTACGGCCCATGACCCTCAGGACCCTTCAGAAGGGGACTGTCACTGGCTGGCAGCAATTCACGCAGGTTGCGTCTGCTCAGGCCTTCCTTGTTGCCGACGTCGGGGTGGAAAATGCGCCGCGCACCCTCCCGCACGGCGCGGATGGCTTCCACGGGGAGAGGTCCAATACTAGCGGGATCGAAATCGGGGGCATCAGGGTCGGGGAAGACCGAGACGAAGTCGGAGTTGGCCAGCACGCTGTCCAGCAGCAGTAGACCAGCGACCGTCCCGGGGTATTCTTGAGCGTATATACGCGCGAGAGCACATCCGATCGAGTTGCCCACCAGAACCAGAGCGACCGAGTCGACATCTGCCGTACCCAGCTTGTCGGCGGTAATTTGGGTGATGAGCTGGCGCAAGTCGCGGACGGCGGTCAGGCAGTCATGACCGTGCGTCGGGTCCTCTGCGCCGGCATCTGCGGGATCGCGATCGGTTGTTTGACCTTGGCCATAGCGGTCATAGGTGAGGAAGGCAGGGATGGAGCTGTCCTGGCGGAGGGCTTTCAGTTGCGCAATGACTGGCTGCCAGAAGGCCTGAGGTAAACCGAGACCATTGAGAAAAACGACCAGGACAGGCTTAGATGTGCCCTGGGGAGGTTGGTAACTGTAGCTCAGCTGCGCTGAGGGCTTAGTGGAGAGGGCGAGAGTTTGCAAGTCCGCCATGTTGTGTGGGGGGCCAAGGGATGAGGCGCGGGAGGATGAATAAAGTGACGAGAAGCAATAGGCAGGAAAGCAAATGCGAGACGGTCGGAGAAATTATGAAAAGGCCAAGCTCGTCCAGGGTTTTATACGCGATGGAGGCGCGGCTAAATGAGGGGTAGGAGGGGCTTTGACGTGCTTATTTTTATCTTGCCTCATCTTACGGCCGGTAATTTCTTTGTTGGTTTCCACGCTAAAGTGTCAACCTTGCGATTTGGGGCCAAAGTAGGAGTGACTAGTGAGTCAACTTAGTCTGCGTTAGGGCTGACGGGCTTTGCTGTTGGCCCCCACCCAGGGTACATATCCTGACATACAACATCATAACCCTGATATCGGTTTACCTCTGCCGTTTGCTACAAGAAGGGTACCATTCGCCATTTTCGAGCAGAATGGCTTAATCAGGTGTTTGATTCCCATACATCACCATGACCCAGCAAAATATAGAGACATTCGTGGTCCTCGGAGCCTTCGGGCTACTCTGGCTCTCGTTCGAATATCTTCGACCGGGGAGTCTTCTAAAACGCTTTGCCAGTATGCGGCGCAAGCTACCTCCCGGTCCCCCGGGGCTCCCTATCTTCGGGAACATGTTCCAATTCACGAGAGCCCGCGATGCAGGGTTATGGGGTCCGTTTGTGAGTCCAGGCTACTTGCCTTACGACGGTATGACAAACTGACCCATCTGATCTATAGCTGGCCTCGTTGCGCCAATATGGTCCAATGACCACACTGCACATGGGCTCTCAGACGTGGGTGGTGCTGAATGATCCGCAGGTAGCTACCGATATTATCAACAAACATGGTAAGATTACCAGTGAGCGACCAGAGATGCCCATTGCGGGTGATCTCGTCAGTCACGGTCTGCGCACGGTCATTCGTCCCACGGCTGCATGGACCGAGGGCAGACGGGTGATGCACCATCTGCTCAGCGGATCGGTTCTGCGTATATACGGTAATTGGCAAGAAATTGAGTCGCTCCAGATGCTCTCGGCCTATCTGCAAGAACCCAAGCGCTGGTACGCGCACCACTATCGCTACTCGATTGCCGTGCTCTACCGTCTCGTCATGGGCGAGAATCTCTCCAAGACGCAGGAGGAGTTAAATGACTATCAGAAGGTTACGATGGAGTTCACATTGAGCTTGCTCAACAGCATGGTTGACTTCTTTCCGCAATTGAACCGCTGGATCCCTGCATTTCTACAGTGGTGGCGCCCGTACTGGGCTAAAATGGGCGACTTCCATCACCAGGTGTTCAAGTCGTGGTGGGACCCCATCCGGGATGCCGTCCGTCAGGGTACAGCCGGCCCTGGCTTTGTGCGGGATACGCTGCTCCATCCGGACATGCGTTACAAAGGTACTGAGGAAGAAGCCATGTATCTCGCCACGTCGGTTATTGCAGCTGGCAGCGACAATACCCGCATGACGCTCAACACCTTCATCATGGCAATGATCAGCTATCCGGAGACAATGAGTCGCGCTCGCCAGGAGTTAGATGCCATCTGCATCAACGAAGATGGTATACTGCGACTCCCCGGCATGGTAGACTTCGAGCGCCTTCCTTATCTGGCTGCCATGGTCAAAGAGGTCCTCCGCTGGCGGCCCACAACACCCGTCACGCCGCAGCATCAACTGACAGAGGATCTCGAATATGAAGGGTACCGTTTCCCGAAAGGAACGTGCTTTGTGGTCAACGGGATTGCGCTGAGTCAGGTATGCGATAGCCCAGATCAATTCGATCCGTCGCGCTGGCTGGATGGCAATGAGGGCAACATCGTGCATAATCTCTGGGCGTTTGGCGGCGGACGACGTATCTGTGTCGGTTATCGCGTTGCTCAGCAGGCACTATATGTCGCTATGGCACGAATCATATTCTGTTTTGATTTATGCGCGGTAAGTGTTTCTCTTACTTCCTCTCCATCTTTCTTGTGTTGCCCTGTTTCTCTCAGATGGTGCGTTGCTAAACGAACATAGGATGGTCCCATCGATACTCGCAAACTGAATCACTTTCACATCCATAACCAACCCTTTCCGGTTAAGGTGACAGTACGTAGCCACAAGCATGAATTGCTGATTAAGGAAGAAGCAGAGAAGGCGCGAACGGGACTTTGAGCGGTGACATAGAGGACAGTATGTGAGGCATAGTGCAAGGTGATACGGCAGATGTGTACATCGACTATTGTATATATTGTAATGAGAAATGATGGATTTCCCCACGGATCTCTGGAAAAGTATTGTAGGGTCAGCAGCTCAAAGCTCCTTCATTTTGCCTACTAATTAAACCACAGGGTGTGAAGGAAAACGTATATATACTGCCCGAGATCTTATGGCGCATCCTCTCGTTCAAGAGATAGCGTCACGTCTTCCAGTAGAAATGCCTTAGAAGGTATGGCAGCAACAGGAGAATGAATCAAGTACTAGCATCAAGAGCGAATAAGGTAGTTCCCAAGGCACTAGGTAGGGTTTTACCTAATAGGGTAAGAGGGCGTTGCCGTCGGATATGAGGACTCGATCTCCGTAGTATGATAATGGGATCTAGGCTAATTCGGTATGTATAAAAGTCGAAAATATAAAAGGGCGGAAAAAGAGCATGGACATCTGTATCGCAGATTATTGTGGACTCGTGAGAGTTCCCCGTGGTGCACGGATCATTTATGGCCGCTCGGGTCGACGCCGGCGATCCCGCGTCTACCATCACCTCTACAGCCCTAACCGGGAAATGGGACAGGCCCAAGTCCACAAGTCAATTGCGTACTTACTTGGTCGAATTAGACTGGTCAACTTGGATCCGAGCGCTTTCCATCATCAACCATCGGCACAGTGGCCTCAACTAATCCACCTCGTGTATGCAGCATCTCAACAGTCTGGATAGGGCGTTGGCTATTCGGACGGCCGAGGTAGATGATCGCATGCATTGTCAAATAAAGGTCATTTATACTGCGTGGCCACGTAGTGGTTGGTCAATTAAGCTGGCATAACTTTGATAGAATGCCAATATTCTCACTGAAAAGCCACTTAAATGTTGAGTAGATGGAGATTCCGGGCGACAGCGCTGATTGGGCAGGCTAGTAAGATGATCCAGTTCGGTAACTCAGCGGGCCTAACATTTATGGCTCGAGGGGGTTAACATACCACAATTTCAATACAATGAGCTGAATATACAGTGCAAAGCAGCAAGAAACAAAATTTAAGCTCTCCATTATCTCGGTTTAATGGTCTTAGGTTGTGCATCTTGCTTGTTGTTCTTTGGCACTTGGGAAGCTCATAATCGGCGGTATGAAGGGCGTGTTAGCTAGTATATATAAGATACACAGTTCCATCACGAGCAGCAACAAAATCCAACATTTGACATTTTTAAAAATATAAATTGAACAACAGGCCTATTTCAATCTTGCGAGATGCTTACAAATTACGTATCAATCTTGAGGGTTCATCCGTAAGACACTCCAGGCAATGAGCATGGCCCTCTAATTCATAGACAGTGATCAGAGTACCCGATTACACCCCAGCAATCCAGCAGAGGACATGATTGAGAAAGACGAACCGAATCGGGAATTCAAGACAGTCTTTATTTGAGCAAATTTCATGACGCTAAGTAAGGAATAATACAGTTACGCTAGATCTAATCCTCCTGTATATAATACCTGACCTTGCCCTCAAACAGTCGCCTGGCCGTACGCGACACCGCGCAACTAGTCACTTCTCCAGCATCATCCATTACCACACCCACCTTCATTGTCCCTTGGCTATGTTCAATCAGTACATCTCTCCCCAACTCAGGATTCTCGTTTTTGCGGTCATCCGGTGGCGGCGACTGTTCGGGGGTCGGAGGCAACGCCCCATGCATGATAGCGCCCATAGCGGAGAGGCCTGCCGCGATTGTGCCGGGGTAGCTGAGTGCAACGGCGATTGTCACCGCCCCAGTGAGCTGTAGGCTTGGATGTGGTAACCCCATGGAGTACGCTTGTACGCGAATATCGGGCCGACTATCCTTGCCGCCGCCAACTTGGGTAAAGGTCGGGGGGTACACGAATGCAGCCTTGGGCGTCCCGCGGGTCCTACTGGCGGCTTCAGCGTCTGTTGCTAGCCCCATCGCCACGGCACCAGCGCGGCGGATGGTCTCGACAAGATCATTTCGATCAGAGTCGGATGGATATGTCCCGAGCAGGGTTGGTGATATCGATGTCGTATCAATGAGGACAAACGGGTTCGCCGAATCGATCAGGGTTACACGGACGTCGAAAGGCTCCAGGCTGGGCATGAGCGACCCAGGCTGCACACGAAGTATCTGCTGTTGCTGGTCTTCGGAAGGGAAGAGCTTCCCAGTCATACTGCCCACCGGCTTGAGAAATGTGCATCTGACTTCGCTCCCAGGTGATTTGACACCGGGAATGATGAAGTTCCCATCCTCCTCATAATCTCCTGACCCATCCACTGCGACGGTTTCGATAACTATTCGATCCGTATTTGTGTTGTAGATTCTGACGTCCATCTACTCATTGAAAGTTAACGACCTGAAGTCTGCTGGTCTTCCTCGTCTGAAATCCAGCCTGAAAGACAAAACATACCATGTTCTGACCCGGCCCCGGCGTGACAAGGCCTTCCTGGATGGCAAAGGGTGCCACACCCGCAGTAATGTTGCCACAAGTGCCGGTAAAGTCCACTGACTCTTTGCCTACAGCAACTTGGACAAAGGTCCAATCGACATCGGCGTCCGGTCTTTGCGAGCGCTGAACGACGGCAACTTTGGATGTCGTAGATGTCCCGCCGCCAACGCCGTCAATCTGCCGAGGGTCGTTCCCTCGAGATCCGAGAGCAGAGATTAAGTGAGGAGCCCAGTCAGCCTGTTTTGTTGGCATATCTTTTTGGTGCAGGAATATTCCTTTGGAGGTGCCCGCGCGCATAAGAACACATGGCAGAGCGTGGCGCCTAAGGCGCCGGGTCTTGCTGAGTAGCTCAGTAGCCATATCTGCAATATTGGGGCCGGGCAATTATAGGTATCCTAAGGCTCTTTGAAGGTACTACCAACAAAATATGAGCTGAGAGATTTCTCGAGTGTTGTTGGGCGTGATATCGAAGTGCTGTTGGGTGAACTCTCGGCACTAACTGGGTCATCGGGTGAGGCGTGGCGCATAGTGGGACTATATAGGATGCTATTTCCATTGCAGTGAGGTATCAATCTTGAATTATAATATAATTTCGACTCAAAGGGAGTTCCCGAAAACATTGCGAAAAGGGTATTCGAAATGAAGCGACGGGTAGGTTCAACGCCCCCACATCCAACGGGATCGATGTTCCCGCGGGAGAAACGGCTAGACGGGATTTGCATTTATGCGAAAGTATGTAGTTGACAGCGCATCAGACCGTTTCTTCCACGGGAAATCGGAGGACGGCATTCACCAATCTGTGAACGGGAAGTTATCGATCGACGAACCGTTCAATCCAAAAAGTGGATCCTCTAAGGATGTAGGCTCCCAGTTTGTCGGTCTCCAGCCATGTTGCCACTGATACGTTCCACCAGCTGTCTCCGTTCGATGCACACCATTAGGGACATCAGTATCTGGACGGAGAGAAGCCTGGTTTCCGACAGTACGCGCATTGTCCATCATCACGGACGGGGGGATGTCTCCTTGATGCAGCGGCACCCACGGTGGTCTAGGCAGCTGAGTAGGTGTTCCGTTCGTCTCGTAGTCTCCTAGTCTTGCTCCGCGACTGCTATTCTCTTGCAGAAAGCTCTGAATAATTCCATCTATATCTACCCAGTCCGATCCAGGGGAGCTTGTTGTCGGATGATCAAGAGATTTGGTATTTGAAAGTCCCGTCACGTTTCCGATGGTCAGGTTATTCTGGATTTCGTTCCCAGAGCTCGCCTGGACGCTGACATCGCCCTCAGCAGCACCATGGCTGGGCTGTGGGTCTCGCTCGGAGCATCTGATCGGCGGGTCGATTTCTAAAGCGTCAAGTGAGACATCGTCAATGATGACCCCGAGCTTTTTCATCAGGCCTTGTACGATATTAGCCGCTTTTTTTACCGCTGAATTCGTCTCTTGATTCTCATTGAATACAGCGAGACAGGTCGCTAGGTTGGCATGTGCCGTCGAATCATTCCTACGTCTAGCTGCGATTCGAGTCAAAACCGTGGCAGCAACGTATGTTGCATATGATATGAGGTAGGGTGCTCGTCTGATAGAGAATGCGCGATGATAAGCACGCAGGAGATTACTGATGTTTGTTGCCGCTGAGGCACACTTCTTGAACGAATCGACAGATATCGACGGCGATGTGCTGTACAGATGACCGTCCGCTACAAAAGGACGGTGGAGCAGAATGACAAGTGAATTATGCATAGCGCTATCAACAGTCAGTTCAGCGGAATGGGAGTCTACAGAACGTCGGGCAGACATACTGGAGGCTGGACACATGAGGGGGCGGGAATGCCACGCTGTGAGCTTTCCCTGGATCGAACCGCAGATGTTCTGGCAATCCTACCTGCCACTGGTCCAATCTGAGCTGCAGTTCGTCTAGCATACTTGCCAGCTCAGCTGGACTTTGATTAGAACTGCGCTCAGTATATATGCAGCTGAGGATGTCGCTCATAGTGAGTGAGAGTTTGCACAGATATGTGAAAGTAGATATGCTATATGCCGGCATTCCCGGGTAGTCAGGTGCTGAGGTTGAGTAAGCAAACGGCTGCCAATGCTCGAGCTCCTCGTAGGTGTCCAAAAATTTGATTGGGACAAGGGCGTCTGTCTCTTTCAAGCTAACGGGACGGCCTTGATACAAACTCTGGATCTTATCCACAACTACAATTTTTTGGGTATTCGGTCAGCCGGTGGGTTTAGTCAGATGCGCACTTAGAATGCAGAGCTTCCTTACCAAACGCACCCCAAAAGACCCGTCGTCGAATTTCTAAATCCTCATCCGAGAACCGGCGTGTACTCGTCAAGTCGACATGCATGCCCAAGTCAATCAACATGCGGAACGCCAGCCCAGAATACAGCCATGCAGCACTCCTTTCATCCCCGAGAGCAAAGAGTGAGTTGGTCATTACAAGCAGTGCCTGGATTGTTGTGATGTCACTACGGTCTAGGGCACCACCCAGGAGTTCCCGGACGCGCTCGCGATATCTCCATCCAGCTGTACGGACGTCGTTGGGGTCTTTGCGGACCTCCAATCTAGGACTGAATTTGGCCGCACCAAAGTAGATAGCGTTGAGAAGTAGCTTGGAAAAGTAAGGACCATTGCAAGCCATGTCCCGCATGAACGCAGGGCGGTAGGTGATGAGAAATGAATGATGTTGGCGATTCCAATGGAGCGACAGCAGATGCATCCCCAGGTCTGGATCAACACCATCAAAGTCCAGCTTAGCCTGACGGAAGTTTAGCTGTTCCATCTGACCTGTTGCCTTGTTTCTCAGCCTCAAATCCCAAATATACCGGCCATTAAAGGGATATGAAAATGAGCTGTAACAGTAATACAGCCAAAAGGAGGAATGATTATGGGTGGGAGTTCAGCTTACGTTGTTTCGCTGCTTCGGCCACAAGGCCCGTTTCTACCCAGTCATCCGGCATTCGAGGGCGCTGATCTGCCCCCATTGATCGATCTTGGGCATGATCTTCAAACAAAGCGCTAGTCCGCCCGTGATAGCTGGACTCGCCGTTAGCTGAAACCAAGATGTGAGCCACTGTAGCTTCAGAGCGCCTAGGAGCGCCGCCTCGTTCCATATCGCCGTTAGAACGGGCGTTAGATGCAGATACATCATCCCCCCCTGGCAGGTGATCGACCCGACCGTCCCTTTGTGGCACGGAAGTTGGACTAGATTTTTCATGTTTATCAACATTCAGGGCGCTCCTCTGTAGAGATCTGCGGTGCCGGGGTCGGTCATGGTGACCACCGCCAGTATCCTGACCTCTAGCGCTAATGGGCTCATAAATACAGTCCTGTGCATACGTTTTACAGTTGACGCAGACAGGCCGTTCATTGTTGCACTTGATCTGTCGTAGCCTCGGCTGCTGTCAGTGGGGGTACAGTAGCCGTGTGGTTTGAATCTCTCGCACCTTTCTTCTGCGGCAGAATGAGCAGGCCTCGAGGGCGCGTCTTCGGCGGGGGCGAAATGACGTCTCTGAGGTGGAGACAGATTTGTTGTTGCCGTGGACAGAGTCCATGAGTGTCAGAGTGGAGTGGATGCAAGACGCAAGGATAGCAAAAAATGTCCGAGATTCCGTCCGCGGTATCATGCATTTAATGGTGTCAGTCTTATCTCCGCCGGGCGACAGGCGGATCACGTGGATGGGAAGCCCCGGGTAATCGAAATGTAACTGCCCGAGGGAGTCGGGTAATGAGATCCCGCGGGAAGAAACGTTCCATCTCGTGCACGACTCTTACTTCAGTTCTTTGGATAGGAATGCCGAATATCAAGTTAATATCCCATCTGAAACTTTGCTGCTCTTTGGGAGCTCTCACTACCGTACTCTCCTCACAGAATTTGTGAGCTCATCCGTCATTGTCTTTCAAGTTACCCAAGATTCACCATGACGACCAACCCTGTGGCTGAGCTGCGCTCTACGGCGCCTGTACCAAAGGGACAACCGCAAATAGCCAAGAAGAACGTCATTTCCCCAGGTATCTCGCTAACTGCTGGTGCCGTAGCGGGTGCAGTGGAAGCAACCGTCACTGTGCGTTCTACCCTCTCTGCTGTTGTCTCGCTCGCGCTGCTAAACGTCGACCCGTGTCACAGTACCCCTTTGAGTTTGCTAAAACACGAGTTCAATTAAGCCAAAAGGCCGCCAGCGGTATTTCCACTCCGGCATCTAGGCATCCTCTGGCAGTGATATTGGGAACGGCGCGCCAAGATGGTGTTCGAGCCATCTACACCGGTTGCTCAACCCTTATTCTCGGGACTGCCTTCAAGGCCGGCGTGCGCTTCTTGTCATTTGACACTATCAAAAACCTCTTGGCGGACGCGGACGGAACACTGTCCCCAGCACGAGGCATACTAGCTGGCATGGTCGCGGGTACAGTGGAGAGTGTGGTCGCAGTGACTCCCACAGAGAGGATCAAAACTGCCCTGTAAGGCTGTGTGTTTCCTCTGTCTTCCTCACATACTGATAGATTCCGTATGTAAATACAGTATTGATGACGCACGATCATCAACCACACGTCGTTACAAGGGCGGATTTCACGCCCTCCGCACTATCGTAGCGGAGTCTGGCGTCAGCGAGGTCTACCGCGGCTTACTCTCCACGACAATGAAGCAATCAGCTACGTCTGCCGTACGCATGGGCTCGTACAACGTCATAAAGGAGATCGTCTCATCGCGCACCAGCATTAAAGACACCAAGAACCCCGCACTGACATTTGGAATGGGAGCCACGGCCGGGGTGATAACAGTGTACATGACCCAGCCCTTCGACACGATCAAGACACGTGCTCAAGGGGCCAAGGGCGCATCAACTATGGAAGCGCTGCGAGATGTACTGAAAGATGGTGGTGTACGAGCCCTCTGGAGTGGAAGCTCTATGCGACTAGGCAGGCTGATTCTCAGCGGTGGGATAGTCTTCACGGTCTATGAAAATGTTGCCGCGCTTCTGATGGGTTCAAGGACAGGGTGAGTGGTTTTAGACACAGTTTTAAATTTGTTTGTATGGTATAGAATTAGCAATGTAAGCATGTCACACAAGGAGCGCCCATCTCAGACCATCTACCGTCCGCGGATGTCAGGAGTACAGTGGAAAAACGAAGAGTTTCCCGAAATGTACGCCATGGCCTCTCGCTAAAAGTCTTGGATGCTCGCCACTGGACGAAGAATCCTTCATCGCGTCTTGGTATAGAGAGCAACCTTTGTATACTCTTTTCTCCCGCGGCATCCAGAACAGCAACTGTGCGGGGCCCCGCAAACCCCAGATTTGAGCATCTCACATCGTGCCCAGACAAGCAATCACCGCGAAAAATATATAAGAACGTGGCCTTGAATACCCATAAAGTCTTCTTTCTCAGAACATCATTCTACCTCTCAATTGTCACCCCTAGACAAGTTTAACCCGATCTTCATCATGCCCCCATCGCCGTCAACCTGCTCCTGTGGCTCAGAGGCTGGAGAGCAAGGCACTCCCAACACAGACATCAAGACGATGGAAAAGCATATAGAAGATGTCTCAGAGTACAAAGCACAGCAACCTGCTGAGGGAGCCTACATCCCGCCAGAGGAAATCCAGGCCCGATTTGAGCTTTTGCGCTATCTGAGCCCGGAGCAGATGGACACACTCAATAAGCGTATCCTCAAGAAGATCGACTGGCACATGATGCCTTGTGTCACACTCATGTTCTTAATGAAGTAAGGCTCTCTAACACATAGAAATAGATTAAGAAGCTAATCCTCTGTTAGTTATCTCGACCGCATCAATGTTTCTAATGCCCGTCTTGCTGGGCTCCAGAGTGACTTAAATATGAGCGATACCGTGTGGAATGCAGGCATCTCGACCTTTTATGTCGGCTACCTCGTCGGCCAGCTCCCTGGAAACCTACTCATGGCTAAATCGAACCCACGTTGGTTTCTCCCAGTCATAATGCTCATGTGGAGTTGTGGAACCATTTGTATGCCTGCCATGACCAAGTGAGTCTTCATCAACAGTTCGTTGCAAGCCACGGAAGCGAGCTAACAGTGCTCCAGCGGCGTTGGCTTTTGCGTCGTCCGTTTCTTTATTGGCCTGGCCGAGGCACCCTTTTTCCCTGCTCTCACCCTACGTAAGAAAACACAGCCTTCTCTTCGCCATGCAGACTCTAACGCTAACAGCACAGTGACTTCTTCTTGGTACACGAGAGAAGAGTCTCCTATGCGCATGGCTATCTGGCATGCTGGCAATACTATCTCGAACATCATATCAGGATTCTTAGCGGCGGGGATTCTCGAGAATATGGATGGTATTAGCGGTCTGCACGCATGGCAATGGTTCTTCCTGATTGAAGGGATAGCATCTATCGCTGTTGCCGTCGCTTCATTTATTTTCCTACCTGCTTGGCCGCATAACACTCGGTTCCTGTCTGAAGAGGAGAGTCAGATGGCACAATACCGTGTGCTCGTGTCTAATGGTGGCCGTGATGAGACCGTTGGAGGAACGTGGGATGGGCTCAGGGACGCCGTGAAGGACCCCTTTACGTGGTTCTTTTGCCTCATGCACTTCGCACTAGTTACTGCGCAGAGCTTCAAGGATTTTCTGCCGTCGGTGAGTCTGCTTCCCCTTTACCTCAAAATATATACATCTCAATGGCAATGGTCATCCGGACACCTATGTCTGACCAGCTATCTTAGATCATAAAAACATTCGGCTTTGACACCATGACCACATACCTTGTCCAAGCACCGCCATATGCTATTGCCTACGCCTTCGCCTGTGCTGCAGCCTGGTCATGTGGCAGATACCAAGAGTCAACTTGGCATATAATCATTCCCATAATCATCTCCGCCGCAGGGTGCAGTATCCTCATCAGCACTCTTAACGTCGGGGCGCGGTATTTCGGGATCATCCTACTCATTTGCGGCACGTACAGTGGACTCAACCTGCAACTGTCTTGGGAGACGACGGTGGTTCCATCGCCAAGAGCGAAGAAGGCTGCACTCATTGCTATTGCCAACTGCGTCAGCCAGTCGAGTCATTGGTTTAGTCCCTACTTTTATCCAACCAGCCAAGAGCCATATTACCGTATGGGTGGTGGCCTGGTGCTTATGGGGTGTGCACTGGTCGCGGTGTCAGCTTTCGCTGTGAATTGGAGAGGTAGACGGCTTAATAAGAGGTTGGACGAAGCTGAGGGGTGGACTATGCACTCAGGCAGCGAGAGAGGTTGGCGGTACAAATTATAAGCCACCATAGTGCATTATCGTGGCAAACAGGCCATCCGTCAACTGGGAGGGAGGTCCTGATATCCAACACCATTGCGATAGCCTTTACCAAGGCCCTTGATATCCCGCACGTTCAAGGCGCAACCGTATTAGGCTGTATCAGCGGGAAAATATCCATTCAGAATGGGTGGCTTTTGTTCAGTTCCATGTGCCTGCATGACAGGGTACAGGCCCTTATATTTTTCGAGAATGAAATGAGCTGAGTTACAAGATCGGAAGGATCAGTATAACTTACTAAATCATATATATATATATATATAATGGGCACAGCATGCTTCGACAACGTCATCCAAAAGAACAAATATCTGCGGACTATGGCAGAGCGATAAAACACGCACACGGTACTATATTTGACATAACACCGGAAGAGAGCCCTAGACGCCTTTCCTATGGTCAAGTTAGCTGGTATGTTCGCTCCATTCCTCATGCTCTGTATTTTCAACCGAATGACCTTAATCGGTTGATTTCAAGCTCATGAACCACCACCAAATATCTACACAAGAGCTTTCTCACAAGGGTCACCTTTCTGTGCTCACCACTTTGCCTGTGGTCTGATGCAATTCTTCCTCTGCTAGGTGAGGCAGAGGGAAGCGAGAACCCCATTTAGTGACCTGGTGGGTAGCCCAGGCTTATGAATACCACATTCCGCCCAGCTATACAGCCAGATACACCGTCGCAATGCCAGAATAGTAAGCTTGGCAGATTGGCTGACCTGGTCCTTTTCACGACTTTCAGGGCCCATGCAACTATTCAAAGCACGCACAGCCATTCAAGCACAAAGATGACTAGAAGGATGAGATAGGTGATCTTAAGCCAATGTCTCTCATTAAAAGATCCTCCTTTCCTTGCCATTTAGGCAATGGTTTGGGCCTGCAGGTACTCAAGCATAGTCAAGGCTGCACTATCTATTCGATAACCCCAATCAGCACGAGGAGCGAGGCAGGACAGAGCATCATTTCACAGGTTGCCTATATTGACCTCTTCCTAGTAGACTTTTGACTAAGCTATTGTTCCCACTACTGCCCCACAAGATATCGCCACTGGAAGTTGTGCTACGGTGTATTTGCCGACGGGAGTGTCATGCCCGCGGGATCTCAAGGGCTAATTGTCTCCCGCGGATTTCGTCTATGGACCCATTCCCCAGTTCCCCAGTTAGACTAGCTTCCTTGCCCCAGAGTTTTCTCACATATGGCATATGCGGGGGACCGGATATAAATGTCTATCCTGGACATGTTCTATGTCGTGTCAAAGTCCGGGGAACTGCAGGAGATACACAATGTTTCAAGGACAAGCGTTACGCCTAGCACAGGTGCTTCTCATCGTCGCGCCAGCATTTATCACTTACGGCTACAATCAAGCGGGAGTTGGGCCGCTCGCCACACTCCAAACATGGTATGGATGTTCTATATTCTGTCCACATCTGAATGATAAGCTGACATGCCTACTGGGTCCACACGTTCCCTGAAATCGACACAATCAACACACACGGTGCCGTCAAGGAAGAAAAGTCGACGAGGAAAGGCGCAGTCATCGCCTCCCTCCAACTGGGAGCGCTCCTGGGGGCTCTCTCATGCACGTATCTCGGGGACCGTCTTGGCCGGCGCAAGACTCTTTTCCTCGCTGCTGCTCTCGTCGTGATAGGCGAGCTGTTGGAAACGTCGGCCTACGACATCGCCCAGTTTACCGTTGGGCGGGTTGTACTGGGCATTGGGGTAGGACAACTTAGCGCCACTGTCCCAGTCTTCCAGGCGGAGTGTAGCTCGGCAAAGAACCGTGGGCAGCATGTGGTTGTTGATGGCATCTGTATGGTCCTGGGCTTTGTTCTGTGCAATTGGATTGATTTCGGACTTAGCAAGACAACAGGTCAAACGCAGTTCCGCGTCCCTCTTGCTATTTCCTTCTTCTTCCCTCTGATCATTCTCGCCTCTGTGTTCTTTCTCCCGGAGTCCCCCCGCTGGCTGGTCTTAGTAGGCCGCTCAGGCGACGCCGCGCGCAGTTTAGCAGCCTACAGGGGACTCTCGGTGGAAGATGAAGTCATCCAGACCGAAATTGCGAGTATCGAATCCGCCTTAGAGCTTACGGAGCGATCCAACCGTATTACATTACGCGAAGTATTCTCCCGAAACGATGAAGACCGTCTCTTCTACCGCTTCACTTTGTGCATGGTGATCCAGTTCTTTCAGCAAATGTGCGGCGGCAACCTGATCTCAACCTATATCTCTACCATCTTCGAACAGAACCTGAAACTCGGCAGCGACCTGTCTCGGATCCTAGCTGCCAGCGCATTGACATGGAAATGTCTATGCAATTTCATCCCCTTTTTCGCCATCGATCGGCTAGGCCGTCGGAAGGTCTTTATATTCAGCGGCACAGGAATGTGCATCTGCATGACCGTATTGGCAATTACAACCAGCTTCGACACTAGCAACAAGACCGCGTCAGTTCTTTCTGTAGTTTTCATCTGGTTGTTCAACCTATTCTACCCAATCGGGTTTTCGGGCGCAAATTTCCTCTATTGCACAGAGGTTGCCCCTATCCAATTACGAGTCGCCATGTCTTCCATATCCACGGCGAACAAGTGGCTATGGAACTTTATTGTGGTAATGATCACCCCCGTTGCGCTTGACACTATTGGATATCGGTATTATATCGTCTACGCGGCTATTTCGGCTTGCATCCCCGTCTCCGTGTATTTCTTCTACCCTGAAACGATGGGCCGCAATCTCGAGGCCTTGAACCAGGTATTTCGTGATGCTCCCTCGATGTGGGATGTTGTATCCATGGCGAAGGATCTTCCGATGGGGGATGTGTCTGCGTTGGATGTAGATGAGGTCGACAAGAAGAAGCTGGATACAGAGCAAAAGGAGTACGCATGATCATGATAAGCCTTTTTCTTTTGTTTGTATATATTCCCTGCTTTTTCTGTGGAAAGGTATTCAGGGAGACTCACATTATGATTGGAATGGGTGGGGTCATCAACTTCGATCCCGCGCTGCGAGGAATACTGTAAAGGAAGGGCCCAGACTTTGCATGGGCTCGAGATATCTCTCAATTTGAACATTTGAATGTAGTATGATACCGCCTGTTCAACTTTAAGAGCGAATACGGAAAACCTTTGAATCATGATACCCAGCGAGAAACCTTCCTAAACGTCTTTCAGTCATTACAATATTATCAAGTTAAATTAATTGCCGAATTTAAGTCACGATGATGTGCAATCTTGTCATCGAGACGAACATGCGTTTACCCGAATACATAATGGACTATTAACGCAAGTTTGTCTCAAAATAAAACGTGGATATATGTTTATTAGTTAACAAGGAAGACAGACTAGTGTCAGGACAAAGCAAGTTCTGTAAAGTAATAAGCCGAGGATTGGAGAGTGGTGCCCAAGGCAGGATGAATGAAAAAGATCAATATAAGTGAGAGAAGAGAGAGGAATAGTGGTACTCGGGTACTTGACAAGGACCCTAGCAGTAGCACCAGTATACTAGATGACCGTCCAGTAGCACAGTGTAAGTTTTTGCGTATGATCCTGATAGATATGGCCGAGATCATCGCACTAGCAAAATATGTATCTGGTTTTAGCAAGATCATCTGTCGCTATGTTTGTATCTATGATTGTTTTATTGTCATAGCGATAACAAAGGAGTAAGAAAAACATGGCTGTTGGGGGGTAGGTCTTCTGCTGTGAACGGCTACAATGTCTAAAGCAAGTCTCTGCTCTGGTACTTTAGTAAATAATGATACCTTGGACGTGCAATTCTATCCCATTACTTTCTAGAGTCGTAACCGCCGTAGATGGAATTAGGATAGTCAGGGGTATCGGTATCCAGCACTCAAGTAGCATGGCGTGTATTTCACACCATTAACTAAGCTTTCTCCTGCGACCTTTTAATCTAGAAGCCATCATACCAACAAGGGATAAACGTGTTTCAGTAAGTGGGACACACGTTCGTAGAGTACGAGACATGCAGGGATAAGTCCTTGTGTTTCCAAGATTTACACTGGTAATAATAATCAAGCTGTCGCAAATCAGACTTCGAAGGACCAAGTACTTAACTCAGATCAACATACCAATCCTGGGTGTTCTTTCATACCAGACCGGAATCAGATAATTACACTTGCTGCGAGTAACAGTATGCAGAACATTCCCGACACAGATCATGCCTGTCACTGCTAAAAAGAGCTCACGTATATTCTCGAGAAGGTTGAGCTAAAGGATGATACCCTGGAAAACCTGACACCATCTTCTGTGGAGTTGGCTTTATCATTTCAGCGAGGGGCCGTGGAAAAATGTACAGCCATGATTCCTTGCAACTGCTGTCAACTATCCTCTGAAAGGATGATGTCCCTCGGCTTGATAGTGGAGAAACTGGCTATGGAATTTAAGGATTTGATAAGGGTATGCGAAGAAAAAGGGCTATTCGAAGTTCTTTCAAACCACCATCAAAGCTCTAGCCATGATGAATCAACCTCGTCCTTGGCGAGATCCCAAGGCTCACCGTCCATTTCTAGCACTTATTTTCTAAACATCACCAACACGCAGCGACGGTTGTTTCTCGGAGATTATGAAGGTTGCTCTTCGGAATGGGCACCCTTGGTGAAAACACTGATAAGGCTGTATGCCAAGAAGTTGAAGTCCTTATTAAGTTGCTGTAAGGTGTAGGCTACAGCAGCAAATCAGAGTGTAATGCTTGCCATGTTCTCCAATGTGGAAGATCAGTTTGAAGCCATCTCGGCCGTCTTTTTGATTTTGCTTGATGTATTCTTAAACCATCAATCGTCAATGGGGAACAGATTACCAAACGACTGGCGGATTTTGGGCTACTTTTTCTTGAATATTGCAGACTTTCCTCTGATTTTGAGTTTATCTTTCCAGTTTTCTCTAACAGGCCTTTCTCTTTTCGTTAACCTCACTCTCTTTCTGTGTTCAAACATGTGCGTTTAGTACGGCTTTATCGTACGGCATGCTCTGTTCTCCACGCCCTATGGCCATATGTACTACTTCAAAATAAGGAGAGGATTATGTTGTGCATAATTACATATCGACGGTCAGCTTTGTCCTTAAAAGTCTCTCTATTTATAAATCCCTGCCTCCATGACAGTTGTAGGCAACGCGATGGTGGAAATATATTCTACGGTCTAAATTCATATGAGCTCTAGGTGAAATTCAATATCATTTGACAATTGAGCTAATATAGCTAGTAATACATCCTAAAGTAATAGCATAGGACTTCACATATATATACAGCACACTTCGCAGTCGAGGACTACCATACGTTTGAATACAAAGTTAAAAGAGAGGTATAGAATAATCTAATATAACTGAAATACGTGAGCTTTACCTATATTAGGTAAAAATATCCTAATGTCCAAAGCTAAGTTCTTACCTAGTTCCCAACCCAGGGCTAATTTATTCCATAATAGGTATAGTGTCGGCTCCTTGGTAGACGAAACATTCATGGTCCTACATACGATAGGGTGCCCTAACGATGGCTTTCCTTCACGTTTTGGATTTTGGGAAATATAAAGATAGTGAGTTTTAATGTTTCCGATTGAAGGCATGGTCAGATATCTTGGTTTATCATTAGTAGAGCTATCTACATACGAATGCCAAGTAGGACACCGAGTAAAGCCAGGCTATGCATAACATCAAGAATATGCCTTCGACAATAATATGGTCATACTGATATGTGGTCAGTCAAGTTGGAGTAGCACTACTCTACCCATGGTTCAGTAATTAGACTGACTGACGAAGAAGGAAGAACCCGATTGCTATAATCCTGGCTCTTACTTCTATAATTGAGGCTTAAATTCAATTTGACACTCGTGTTCCTACAAGGATAGTGAGCAAGCTAATCAAGTATATGCTTAGGGGGTACATACTCGCATGTCACGGCAGCCTTCATCATAGAAGACCTCAAAACGGCTTGTAATGCCAGGGGAGATTGTGTCAAACCCTCCTCTGGGCTCAGTTGTATATTTGCGATAAAGTGCCGCCACAAATGTGGTCATCTCCGCCATGGCAAGACTGCAAAGGTAAGTAATTTGCCTATGGTATTGTTTCATTGAAGGGGTTCTCACTGCATCCCAATGCACATCCTACCACCACTGGAGAAGGCCCAGAAAAATCTGTTCATTTGCGTGAGATCCTGAGAAGGGTCGAGCCAGCGGTCTGGATTGAACTTCAGTGGATCTTGGAAGACATCTGCGTTTCGGTGCAGCGTGTATGGTGAGATTGAAACGATGGTACGGGCGGGGATGAGATAGCCGTCAATGTTGATTGCTTCCGGTGATGATCTTGGTTCAGATGCTGGCAGCGGTGCGTACAGTCTGAGGGTTTCTTTGATAACTGCCTCTGTGTAGGACAGTTTGTCGGCTACTTCCACTCGGGGAATCCCATCAGGGTTTAAATCGGTCTCAGATAGACTCCGAACTTCGTTGATAAGCTTCTGTTGGAACCTCCGATACTCAGGGCGAGAAAGTGACCAGATTGTGAACATCAAAGTATCGCTTGTGGTATCAATGCCGCCATCGAGCTGGTCTGCACATTCAGACGCAATGTCAAGGTCGTCCAAGCCGCCATCTTTCATAGTGCGATGGTGTTTCCATAGCCTTGAAATAAGAGATGCCTGTGCATCCTTTTTGGCAACAGAGGCATCAGCAAATGCCTGGAAAGCCTTGGTTGCGTGGAGCTTGATACTGGTGTATGGAGTTGGTTTCTGCATGGGGTAGAATTGGCGAGCAACGCAACCGATAAGCCCAGTCCGCGAATATAGCCACGCTGTAAGCTTGGGATGATGAATAGTAAACCATGACAGGGTGCGACTACCGGTGGCGAGGATGTCATGAAGAAGAGCACGGTCTTCCTCTATACCATCTAGACATGCTGTCTTTCCAAAATCACCGTAGAGAAATTCCGTGATATTATCCAACGAAAAGTAATGCAAGGTAGTAAAAATGTTATGAGATCGACCCTCTCTTTCGAGAAGTTCCATATACTTTCCGACCTTTGTTTCAATCATATGCGCGTTTGACCCTTTCAGCATTGCAGATTTGGCATAGGCGTGAGCAAAAAGCTTCTTCCGCTCGGCATGCTGCTTCACGGTATTGAACGAGAACATGTTCTTCCGTCCATATATCGCGAACATCTGGTAGAAGTTGGTCCTTTCGAAGCCGCTCCCTGCGCCATATATTGCGCGCAATGCAGAGAGGCTGTTGAAAGCCACTTCATTTGGACCGACGCGAACTACTGGACCGTATGTCTCATGAAGCGCGTGGACCTTGCGGGTGCGGGTGCCCTTATAATCCTCGTAGGCAAGTCTCCATTTGGTTAGGGCAAAAGACTTGGGCCCTGGGATTCGCGCTAGAGGACTCGAGAACAGTGTCCAACAGATGTAATACACGAGAAAGGCTACACTGCCTGTAGCGATTGCAGCGACAGTGATGGTCATTTCAATGCAGATGGCAGGAGGTAACCTGGGATTTCCTTGGATTGGACTTCCTAGTCAAATGTACCCCTTTGAGCTCCCTATCTGAAGAATGGGATACGACGGCCAGCGGCGTTAATTGATATAGGCGGCGTCTGGTTGGAGAAGATCGATGTCTTCAAAATGATATGGTGACGCACAGAGCAGCCGTAGGGGCGGTTAGAACCGGATGCATGCGGGGTGATAACTCAAGCACGCCATATCATTTTAAAGATATCGATCTTCTCCAACTTAATCGTACTAACGACCCCGCACTCCACGAGGTTTGATACGGATTATTGAGGAGACGTGCAAGTGGGTCCCCGATAACGGAACAATAGGAGATGATAGTGCTTGGAGGACATGCTCAGTTAGTTGCTTAGGGTTGGACTTTGTCATGATGACAAGTAAACTGCTTCCTCAATGGATTGAATATCATCTTGCCAGTTTAGCGCCTGCACAATAATATCCCTTTTTAAGTCAAAGAGACCCATTGGTGCGGCGCGGAAGCTCTTTATGATATCTTTCAGGAGAGCCCTGTTCTCCTTTAGGGCTCGGCTACTTTCGTTGCCCACAGAACATAGGGTTAACATACGTTGCAGGTCAACCGCGCCATTCATATCGACCACGGATGTCTGATCAATGGATCCTGGTATCTCTAGTGCCCGGCAACAGAGTCAGTTCCTCTTTCTCACCTAAAAAGGAATGGTTTACGCGCCACTAAATTGCACATCAGCATAGCGCATGCTCTCAGTGACTTCCGCCCATGTCGCTCCAAAGGCCCAATAGCCATAGTTGATTGTTCTAAGGTACAAATAACAACCGTAACGAAAGTAATGGTCTGAACATTGCTTAAGCTTATTTTTCTACGGCCTTCGAGGGAGAGCTAATACCTAACTCTGGTTCGGTCTCTAAAGCGGAACGATGAAGTATAAAGGAAGGATAAGAAATTTCACATGAACTATTATAACCTGCAGTCTAAATGACCTGTACCTCACATCGGGATCTTCGTGTTCTAAGTTCGTTAATAGGGCTTGTGAGGAACATGCCTGCGAGTAACATAACGGGTATTAAACAACGCTTTGATATCCGATATCCCGAAGACTGATCACACAGTTTCGAAAGCTTTTCCGACTATATGCGCAAACGTTGCCTTAGGGTCTATACACTTAATACTTTACATTATTCAACCTGAGTGATATAAATATCCTTCCTCATAGCCCACAAAGTAAACGCTTTTTTCTAAGCACCACGTAGAAGGCTGGCAATAGCATTCGCCCACAATTTGGAACTCTTTCTTCAACAAATATTGACCATTTATTTCCCTCACAACCTTGAGCATAACCCTTATTTGGGCTGTTTTAGCAGACTGACCCAGACTTTGTGTGGACTTTCGCTTAAGGTCTTCCTCACACGCTTCGATAAGTCTTTCTGCAATCCCCATTTTTCCTGTATTGTATTCTAGGTTTAATAGCAACCATGAAAAGCTCCTGATTCCCCTCACACGTAGTGGACTATGGGAGGGAGGGACTAACTGTGGTGCTAACAGCATCTATAAGCAAAACCTCCCTGGCGCTCTTCCTGGTGTAATAGCTGCCTGGCTTCCAGATGATGCTGTCGGTCGTGGCTACCCAGTCCTTGACACTTGCGGTGCCCACAATTCTGTTGGAAGTAGATATCTCAAGAATAAAGCCACTGGCTGGTACCGATTTCGTCAACATTTTGAGCGTCATAAATATCCTTTCACCAATCGTACCCAAGGGTTTTATGTCATGGCCTTGGTAGGCAATATTTAAAACTGTCCGAATGCCAGGCAAGATGGATTGGGCAAAGAGATCTTGTGCAGTATATATTTTGATTTATTATGAGACACCCTGGTCCAAGGTTTTAATACATATGCTGCTCCATTTATCTCATCAGGCCTCGCCCTTATTAACTGTGTTCAATCTCATGCGGTTTTGCCTAAACGATGTTAGGGCTTAAAAGTATAATTTGGAATATATATATAGCTCCAATATTGTATTGCGTTTATCGTAATACCAATCGCGTTGCTTAAATATCAGAGCTTCGATGCCTGCCCAGCAAGTATTATTATACAAGCTCACGTCCATAGATGTTCAGCCTCATGTACAATACTCTATGTGACTCCATATCTGTTTGAACCTGACACGATCGGAACGGAATTTCGAGCATTGATCATTCGCTGGGTTGGCCTCGGGTGGTTCATGTAACGAACTAAAAAACCATTTTATATGACCTTACACACTCTTTAATATTGCTTTTGCTTCTTGTTCCGGGGTCAATCTTTCGACCGATGTATTAGCTCGTCTTTTCCACCGACGCCTCCTTCACGCCTAGTCTTGCCCTTCGACATCGTTACTTGTTAGAAGAATAGACTACGTACTAAAGACTGCAAATAGTCATTAATTTACATAGACTAAGTTATACGTAGCTATTTACCCAAGACCTGAGCTTGAACCGCCCGTTCTTCCATCCCAACAACTACAGAAACTGCGTCCCGAGCCTTGCAATAGACAGACGACCACATCACTGCCGACATGGCAAGTACTATCCTCACCATGTCACCTGTGGAAAGAGCTCAAGTTCGAGAAAATTCCCATATTAAATCTTCCGTCCAGATGTGGATTGTGCTCGCCTTCGGGGTTCGGACGACTTTCATGCTGCGCCACTGTAGCGGATCTCGGCGGTCGGAGCTTGGCTCCAACCCTGTATTAGAATAAATACATCGCGTTTCAGTTTGATATCGCTCTTTTTCTGGGAATATTGGTTCGATTTTAATAAATCATAAGAAGAGATATCATCTTTGAGTTACGACATTGACTCTAAAAGTACTACCAATGGCGTCCATCCTCACACTGCATCGAGTGACCACCCTCGAAGACTTGGAACCGCTGTATCACATCGGTGCAGATGCCTTCCGAGATGACCCATGTATGAACTGGTTCTACCCCGGCGGTCGCGATCATCCAGATGACTTTGTTGTGCTGTGGAAGAATATTCTACAGATGGAGTTCTTCGACAAGGGGAAATTTATCCTTGCCGCCACCATCCGGGATCCAAATGATGACGGTGGCAGAGGCCTGAGCAGGGTAGTAGGATTTGCAGTATGGGAACGGCATGGAGTTTGCGATGCGGCCAGAAGCTGGCAAGGGGGCAGTCTTTCCAAACGTATGCCATTGGACCTCTGAGGCGCTTGTGTATTGATATAACCGTGCCTATCTTCTTGGACTAATGAGGCTATATCTAATCCAGGGCTGAAACGATTCAACCTCAACCTCAAGATCGCTTATACATTCCGTCTGGACACACCAAAAAGATCCATATCCTGGCCAAAGCTGAATCACTATGTACATGAACTCAAGTCAGCTAAGGATAGTCAACCGACTGAGTCATGGTACCTGAGTCTTTTGGCCGTTAGCTCAAAGGGTCAGGGGCAAGGAGTTGGAAGGAAATTGCTTCAATGGGGAATTGATCGGTCGGAGGAAGAGAATGTCCCAGCTACTTTGGTAGCAACTAACGCAGGGCTTCACTTGTATGAAAGTACGGGGTTTGAACGGACGGGGTGGCTGTTTTTCGATGATGAGCGGCAGAAACAGACGATTATGAGGAGGGAGGTAAGACTGACTTGATTGTTCTGTGACTCGTGCGATAGCAGATAGTTGTGATAGATCTTTAATCTGAGTTTAGCTCCAGTTATACAGTTTTTACCATCATATTCTTAAGCTACCTATTACATATTGTAAACGAGCATAGCTTCTGCATTACGATACAACTGTTACATCTTATGCTGACTATTCAGGCCGCCCATCTCCAACTTGATGGCCCGGCTTGAAGTTTCCGTAGCACGCCTGTTGATACATAGCTTTCTCTTTGAGCTTGGGCACAGCATTTAGGAAATGAGCGACCTGACAAAACCCATTCTTTTCATCTTCACATCCAACTACGCCAGAAATCGGGAGTGGCGCACCATTCAACACGAAGCGGATATAGTCTGTCGTGCTTTCGGTGTCAGACAGGTCTGGGTTGACATAAAGAGTATTATCTAACTTGTCGGGGCTCGTTTCCTCAGGACAGGTCCAAACTTCGGAGATTAGGCGTGCTCCAAAAGGGGCCATCTTGTTTAACTGAAAGCTCCGAGGGACGGCATGAGCTACCTTTGAAGGCATACCTTTGGGTCCATAATTAAAATACTGGAGTCCCAAAGCAGTAATGGTTCCGATAATGACTTTGTCATGAGTCATGTCCATGTACAGGGGCTGGTTGACCGGAAAGGTAGCGGAGTGATTATCATAGGTAGTGTTGATACTGGTATCGCTTGAATCGATTAATTTTCTCTCGAGTCTGGCAGCAAGCTCGAGAAGATATCCGATACCTTGCGCTCTTCCCATAGGGGAACCAAACGCAGAGGCGCCATAAAGTTGTATATCGAGGTTATAGGCGAAGTCGAGCCATTCTTGTTCGGTAAAGAGACCACAGAATGATGAGCTACCCAAAGTTGCATATTCATATGGGCAAAGGTTCATCATTGCGAGCACATCGGAGGTTGTCAAATTGAAGTCCTCCGGAAAATACTTCGATAGCCTACCGAGAGGATCTTTAACCATTCTAGGGATGAATCTCTCTGAAGCATGGGTTCTGTATATACGTTAGAAAGTCACGCCAAGTGTCCAGTAGAAGACCCTTGATATTTTGCGTACCCTTCTTTCAGATCACCTGGGCAGGAATGCTCGGCCGCGAGTGTATTGTTCAGACCGTTGCCCTCGGGGATTACCACGAGATTGTACGAGGAATTGGCATGGTAGGGCCCGAAGAAACCAGCTACTCGATCAGCAACTCAGGTTAATGGATAAAAGAAGATTAAATGGACTGACCTAACCACCACTTCGCACTCTGTAGGACTCTCTGCTTGTCCGTCGTCCTGAAAGTCGGCTTCGCTCTGCGAGTTCCATTTGGATACACATTCAACTCTGGATCCCAAACTGCCATTCCAGGTGGCGCTCGATACACCATGCGTCCATACTTTGACCATATATCTGCCCCGGAACTAGCCTCTGTGGCCGTACCCGTGGCAAGCAAGATATCGCGACCGAGCAGATACTTCCAATTTTTCAGAAAGGTCAAAGGTCCTGTGCCGACCGAGACATTGTGGTCGCTCTTATACCTCTTCAGCTTCTTGCTAAATGTCTCCATCCCCTCTCCATCAAACCAGGACGATTCGGGATAGCGCTCTGCATGTCTATGCAAAACATGAACTTGCGATAGTTCGCAACCACGCGGAACGCCCTTTGGGGCACCAAATCCATCAGCTTCTTTGTAGGGACTGAGGTTTGCCCAGCTGCTAGTTATATCAAAATGGGACGAGTATTCCGCGCTTTTCGGTCGGGCCGTCGTGGCTGACGAGCTGGATGAAGGTGCATCGCGAGTGAATGCCAAGAGCGCAGCCAGTACAATTTGGGGGCTCAGCCAGTGGAGCATTTTTTCCTCGTGTCTTTTGTGTTATGGTTCTTATGGAGCAAGCAGATGGGGCATCAGCGTAGGGAAAACTCCTGGCAGACGTCATAACATATTCACGTCATTGGCTGTTCGAGCGGGAAGCAAAACAGAAGCGATGTAGGGCATTGCGTAGCATATGGCCTGGATGAAAAGGTATAAAACAACAAAAAGAAGACGATAGCAAAAATGAACACAAATTTATTATATGAGTCGAATCTTATGGACTTCCATAATCAGTATAAATCCTCCCTATAGCTGCTGGTTCCCTGAAGATGCAAGAATATAATTATTGTATAGATGCGGTGAGTCTATAATCCACCATCTTCACATTGTGGGAATACTAGTCGACACAAAGAAAATCCTAATTATTTAGATAGTGTACTACCATCTTTTAGCACCGACCTCGCTTGAGCGCGGTAGTCTAAGTTCCTTGAAAACCAATGGTTTGCTGATATATCTGGTATCTATATCCGACCATCAGCGTGTATCCGTCAACTGCTCTCATCGTGCTCTGGCAATTTGACATTAGCTTCCTTACAAGGGTGGCTTTACTTGCTTGAGATTGAGATTAGCCAGAGGAACGTTATCAGCCATATATGGTAGATCAACAGCACAGCACCCATAGCGAGGACTTCAAGAAGGCAGGAGACATATGGACGAATAGTACGGAACGCAGTATGGTTCATGTGAAGGGTGGGAAAGCCCATTTCTATGCCATATTTCTTTCTTAGTTATCTAGTATCTTTATGTAGCTTCCTCGTTTCCTTGACTACATCAAGTTATCAACACGCGTGCTTTATTGTCTAATAATTAGTTTATTCCAGTAACCCACAACTGACATTTAGTATCGTAAGTTATCTTTTAGTGGCTCTTTGCTTCAGCAGATGATAAGAATGGGGTTTTCAGGGCCGAATGACCAATCAAAAGACATCTGACGGTCTGCAGTCAGACACAAGTTGCTACAGAATGACACCCATCCCCACCCATGGTCTTTCTCTGGATGATTCAATGATGCGCGGGATCATGAATTGGATAAATAAAAAAATTTGATCCTAGCAGAGATCTGGATGGGCCTTCCGTATTGCAGGGTAGGGATTTTCACGTTATGCAGTGGGCATTTCTAGCCGTTGTTTGTTTTCTGATGGTTGGAGGTCATATTCGGATAACATGAATCCCTACACGGGTTGCATAGTCTTGAAGTAGCGTACTTCGTTCAGTTATTATCCCAGGCGCACTGGCCCCTTGGGTCAGCTTGCTCATTGTCATTGAAACTAACGGTGCAACGCCAGTCATCCGGGAGCCCGATAAACATAAGATGGGCCCACAATCTCCAGACTGGAAACCTTAAGCCGGCTGCTGTGCAAATATTCATTCTTAGTATCATATACAAGGGTACCTGGCCGTTTGATCCGCATGTTCATGTGCCATCTAAGAGGCTGGGCTTGTCGTAATTCAAGCTGTCAACAGGAGTTACAGCGTTATTTTACCTCGATTCCAATTGTGACTAAATACGCAGGGATGTGCTCATTCATGCAGACACGAAGCAACAGCTCGTACAGCAGGAAGAGGACGTTAAGTTTCCGAGGCACGTATGCCGGTCAGTTGAAATGTAGCCTGCAACAGAACCTGGGTCGTCTACGTAATTCTCACTATCTTATTTCATACCATACATCGCAGAAGGAGCTTTCCCCGCTCTTTCAAGATAGCAGTTAGTAGCCTGTGCTGCTAACATCCCCGTGGATTGAAAAAAAAGGCAAACGAATATCGCATTTGGACATTACGGAAGCCAGTGACTCATTTGTGCAGCAAGAGAAACGATCATTTTCATATCGCTTTCCTTCCTACAAGTGCTGCCTACCTGTATGCACTACTGCGTGTATGCTTAAACGCAAACATTGAGTAGTTGGATTTTCATATAGCACTCCTATGATGATGGCAATTCTATCAACATTCAAGACGGGGAACCTGGTAGAGACTGGCGTCTATGCCGCTCTGGTTACCTTTGGAGTTGCTCTTCTGTTTGGGCTGGTTGCCTTCATGTCCGACTTCCTCGATGGCTGGCTCAGGAGAAGGGCTCTAGGTGACATTCCTTTTGTAGACGAGGGTAGCAATATGAGTGCATGTTTGAGATGGTGGAGCCGGAGGTTTGAAGCTGAAAAAGAGTATGCAAAAGCATATAAGCTGGTAGGTGAATGTCTCATCTTACCCTGACACTAGGTGCTGCCAAACCCACATCCATCTAACACATGTGCAGTACAGCAAGAGAGGTAAACCATATGCAACGAGAGTGAAGAACAATGACCATGGCATCGTGCTTCCTCTGAATTCAACGAAGGAATGGCGTTCCTTACCAAGCGATCAACTGAGCTTTCTGCATGCATTGTCAGAGGTGATCGCCTGATTTCATATAAATATGGGCATTGTATTCTAACCAAAGGTGTAGTTCGCCGATCTGTATATGCATATAAATGTAACGGATAGGACACCTTTGCATGCAGTGCATTACTGCAACAACGCTAATACGCTAAGTACGCATCAGTCCGTATAGGTAGCAAGGTGTATAATACCATTGTCAAACACTAAAACACTCTATAGGCCGGTTTAATCGTCATATCGTTGATGCCACCTATAAAACTCTGCCATTGATTGCTGGTAAACCTACAGATCATGGTAGGTGACGCATGCAAGTCCTATAACCTCTCATTAATTCTAATGGAGTAGATTGGAAGCAATTGAATGTATTCCATAGTATGCTCTCGTTGTGCTCAACGGTTGCAATGTCTGTGCTGCTCGGACCGGAGTTCTCCATGGACACATCTCTCATACAAACTATCATGAAATACAATACTGCGATAATGCCCAGCTGTGCCGAACGAACTAGCTACCCCCGTATCCTCCGTCCATTTGTATGGCGCCTCTCACCCCTCTGTCGTGCAATGCAGTCGAATCTCTCCAAGGCAAAGATGAAGCTGATCCCAGAGATAAAGCATCGCATCGGTATTGCACGTTCGAAGAAAGGATGGATAGAGAATGGTGGTCCAATGTCTCTCTTGGATGGCCTCATTGAGATGGCATTCGAAAAAGGCAGTTTGAGTCGCAGTAGCGATCGCGGCGATGATGCTCAGCAGGTACATTTATTGGCCGAGGAGATCATGTTTTATCATTTTGAGCTGTCTTCGCCCATTGCATTCTTTATAACCTTCAATCTGTACGTGATTATGAACCACAAGGAATACTTGGCTCCTCTCCGAGAGGAGATTAGGGAGGCCTCAAAACTGACCGGTGGGAGCTTAACCCTCGATACCTTGAAGCACGCCCCAAAGTTGGAAAGCTTCGTCAAGGAGACATGTCGTTTGTACGATATTTCATGTTGTAAGCTCTTCCGTCCACATCAAACCTTTCACTTGATCAGTTTTCTCTTCTTCCCGTTTTACCAAATAGCAACTGACCAGCATCCAACCCGTTCTCTAGTAACCAGCTTCCGCCGCGTCATGAAACCAGTGCACCTGGAGTCTATAAATTTATCTCTAAGCCCAGGCACGATAATTATGTCACCTGGTAGAGATGTCCATTTTGACCCAGAGTATTATGAAAACCCAACCATGTTCGATGGTTACCGCTTCTACGATGCCAGTCGTGAAACCTGTACTCCGCATATATCTACCACTTCCCCGACATTCCTCACATTCTCTCACGGAATAAGTGCCTGTCCGGCACGGGTCCTTGCGACTCAAATCACTCGAACTATCTTTATATTGTTACTTCTCAAATATGATGTGGAACTCGCACATGAAGAGATGCCACCGTATGGCATCGCGGATGGGCCAGTGTATCTCCCTAACCCCTCGATCATGATGCGAGTAAGACCCCGCCAGAAAGGCGTCTTCGGACCTTGAAATTATGTCTCCACTATCGTATTAAATCGTATACCCGGTATGGCTCTTTGTTTGAAGTCTGGTATAAGATAGTAATACCGTGTCCTGGCTTACCTTGGCTATGGGTTTGGCAAAAGTGTGATCTGCTTTCTTCAATTGGCTCTTTTTCACAAATTACAATGCTACTCCCCCCAAATCGTATGCATTTATGTAGCCTACCGTTGATTTTTCTATTGGCAAGGAGATAAAATGAATAGGATGTGCATATTAATTTGATATATTAATTCGATACCGTAAGTCCAGTGTTCCGGGTATTTTCATGAGACGCGAGCGCTGGTGGAACTCTTGCCACCGAAAGGGCCATGTTGCGGTTAGGGTTCCGTATATGCAAAATGCACAAGGATTGTTCACTGTTAGGTGGCACAGCAGACCATGATGCGAATTGTAATACTGGCTTACCAAAGCTCGTACCATGAGCAATGATCTTCATGACTGGTAAAGACTGGCATATAAACTATTCCTCTCGGTGAAAGATGACATTCATCCCCCACCCAAAACACTGTTCCCTTGGGTCATCCTTTCTCCTTTGTCCTGTGACTCTTCGAGCCAGATATTAATGATTCGATCATGCAGGAAGCTCTGGCTAAAAGTCTGCCCGCCCCCCATAATATTCATGACAGGCGCTTTGCCGCCCTGTATGAATTGGGCGGCGAGATTACGGAGCTCTTTGCCAAAGAGGTAATCTCTCAGTCAGGCTTGCCTCTGTCAAGTCAGGATCCTTTGGTAATCCTTGACCTTGCCTGTGGAACGGGTGCCGTCTCAAGCGTCCTTCACCATACTATCGGTGACGACAAGAAAAGTAAGTGGCAGTTGACCTGTGGTGATATGTCAGACAATATGCTCCATTATACTAGACAGAAAATGGTGCAGGAAGAATGGCATAATGTCGAAGTGAAGATCGTGAATGCGCAAGACACTCGCCTGCCAAGTGCGCGGTATACCCATGTGTTCACTGCCTTTGGTGAGTAGATCTAGGAAACTTGTGCAAGTCAAAGGACATCCTGAGAGTATTGAATAACGGGATTTCTAGCTTTTAATCTCTTTCCTAATGATAGGTCTGCCATGAAAGGTAGGGTCGTTGGAGACGATCTCATGATTGCGACAGGTATAATTCCACTAATAACTTAGTTTAGAATGCTTCAGAATACTTCAGCCAGGTGGCATCTTAGCAGTCTCCACATGGAAGAGCAGTCAGTTGTTAAATTCATAGTTAACTCTATTTACTTACACATAGATGCTAAGATGTGATATGTACGCCCAAAGCGATCTGGGTGTGCACACTTAGTGCTGCCATTACCAGCTTGTCCGGTCATCTACCAGCTCCGTCAGAGAAAGAGCTTTACGGAGTATACAATGTCGGCTGGGACGAGGAGTCATCTGTGCGGACTAAGTTTGAGGAAGCCGGATTCATTGATATCGAAGTCCGAACGGTGAAAAAGGACTATTTAGTCCCCGTGGACCAGTTTGCCCAGAGCTGCACCATTCTCATTCCCACCATTGTGAGCATTTTCTGGACGCAGGATCAGCGAGACCTGTATGAGTCCGAGTTGCCAATGGCCATTCATCGCTATGTTGAGGGGATTTACGGGAGAGATGGGATGGCTGCCATGGAGGCTGAAGCGATCATTGCTACAGGCCGTAAGCCTTGACTTGCTTGTAAAGTTTAATAAGGAGTCCTAGGCATTGTGCGTATCCATGGCTTTGTATTTACGTCGTGATTTTCTGGTTGATGGCAGGTGTCCTAGTAGAGCGCGGTAGAATTCAGACCGTGTTTACTGCACTTATTCAATTCAGACTCTTATACGAATGTGAACATATTCAACAAACCAAATATATCTAGTAACGCCAACAGTAGACCCTACATTCCTACCATGATCCGTAAATGTCCCATATCATCCTTCCTTAGCAGATAATCTTTATGACTTCATGTCGCTATGTACACCGTTTTCTGGCGTGATCACGGTGAACCATCCTTCTAAAGACCGATTCAATATTGTCATACTATACCCATCCTACACCACGTCGTCAACTTTGTCGAGTGGAGTTCGAAAAAGCCCCTCGATCTTCCGTTCTTTCAAAAAAGGTCCATCTTCATTATACGTAAATACTAGTCAATCAGCGTTCAAATATTGTATTAATCAAGCTATAGAATAAGGAACTAGCGGAACCAAAAGTCACTTAGAAAGGAAACGCCATCAACCATTAAGGAATTTGATAAGCAATATGATCACTTGAGCCGCGCCTCAAGGAGACCGTGGCAGTTTCCAGCAATTTGATAAACTTCTCTGACTTCAAGCCCAGCTAAATCAAGAACCTTTCCCCACTCCATTAATGTTCTCTGTTTAGCACCAAGGTTCATCATAACCATATCCATCCATCCTTCCTCGATTCCGGCGTTTACATGGGGAACAATGATTTCCTCAATAAGAAGCCGGGACTTCTCTGGCTGCATTGCCGCTGCGACGTTCTTCAGGATCTGGACAATACTGTCCTGGGGCCAGTTGTGGAGACAGCGGCGGATAAGATAAGTAAGAGCTCCTAATCGGAGAGGTTTGTTATGGATGAATCACTACATATCCGGACTTCTAAGCGAGTATCTTACCTTGAACAGGTTGCTCCTCAAAGAAGTCATATGCCATCTTCTCAATCCCATCGCCAAGGGGATCCGCATTTTGGATCACATGTTCCTGATCCTGCAGGATGAACCTGCCAGCAAGATTACCACAGTGAGACCGAATGCGAGAGATTCCCTTCCCCGTACTACCGCCGATATCCACCGCAACCACTGTCGTGGGAGTGGGATGCAAGCCTGACAGACTTTCCCAGGGAAAGAGGTCAATCATCCACAACTCAGTCATTGCCTGCAATGTCATACCATCATTGAAAGATGCCATTCTTCCAGGCCTCTCAGAGAGGTATGCCCACATGCTCTTTCCATTGGTATCATGAGCATACGTGTATGGGTTATTACAAGTAGATGTTGGTTCCCTCCATGAATTGCGCTTCAGGAATTCATGCATCTTAAGATGCGCTAGCATATGCTCATCCATTCTAAAGTAGTGCTATGTCAGCCTACTATGAGCGTCTGTAGTAATGCATGAGCACTTACGCAAAGCGAAACATACCCCGAATTGCAGGGTTGAGGTAGGCTTCTGAAAACGGAGTGTGTCGGTATTGACACGGTCCAGTCTCTTCAAAAAGAGCGGAGTTCCTCATTAATCGGGCTAATTTCCAATTAGCTAATTGACAAATATTGTGTAATATGGGTGCATCGTGCACCTAGCAGAGCTTCGTCCACGTTTAGCTCTTCCGCAAGCTCCTTCGTACTCCGGGCCTCATCACCGGTGGGCAGCACATCAAATGCCCCCATTTCCAACAACGACCGGGTACATGCTAGATGGGCCGTCTAACAGTAAGCGTTAGTTATCACGACGATGTGGGGGGGTACAAAGAGTGTAGTCTTACCCTCTCAAAGCAAGTGGCAACAGTATCTATTGGGCCCTGTGCTATATGGAGGAACTTGTAGGCCTCCAGTACGAGATTGTCGTGCACAGTCTGATTGGCACTATGGTCTTTTATACTTCCGCCATGCTCAATAAGAAGTCTGGACTGACATTCACTCGCGGCAGCATTAAGTCTCTCCAGCGCCGCTGTGATCGATTGGAGATACTGGTCCATCTCTTCAGGAACTTCCAGGATTGCGGCAATTATTTTCAATTCGAATAGACCAAGTCGTCAGAGAAAAGTAGTTTATGTTTGGGGTATTAGTAGGCAGTATGAAAGAGAATAAAATACGTAGATATGCTTGGACCTCTAGGAACTACTACTTCACGACACTAGTATACTTATCATACAATTGCTTGGACCATTGTAAAAATCAGCCAACAACATATAATGCTTCACATGTGAAACTACTGAGCTGCATATATGTCGTAGTATGTTGGGCCGTATCTAAATTTAGACTATCCTTACAGACCTACGAAGGCAACATTCGTCATCACTCATTGACACTCGGCGATTGTTTTACGTATCTACTTCCTTCCATAGTCCATAGCTGGGCCAGGTTACATGACCATTAGTGTATAAACTGACCAGCCTATCAGGGAGGAGGTCTTCTGCAACCATATCCAGGATCCCCTGCCTACCCCCTTAAGGGTCTTCTGGAGTGGCAAGAACCTACATCATCCAATAAGTACAAGATATAAAGAAAACATACCTCTAATTATCGGTTGCCTTTTTGATGTCATAGGCCGTTTTACAATTCAAACTCAATAATTACACGAGGCCCGGCCACCGGGACTCGACTTTCAAGGGCCACTGCATCAGCGCCTTGGCTTGTCGGACATGCAATGGAGATACCGAGTCATGCAGCACACACGCACCGCTTTGATCACTTTTTCCGTAAGACCCTTATGCTGTTGCGAATCTGGCCAAAAGTGAGTCTGAGAATTTCTCTTGCGACAAATGATGCGTCATATAGTGCTGCTTCCTGGGTTTCCGTCAAAGAATAACTCTAAACTTGCGGATAGGCCCCAGCCCATCTGCCGCTATGATGGTACGTCTCCAAGCTTCTAAACGCCTGGCTTAATTTGCAACTGTTTTGTACTTTCTCAGAGTATGACTTGAAGCATACCTGGATAGTACTCCACTGGCATCGTTTGCTTGTGATATGCGCCACTTCAATTGTATTCAGCATAGGACGGGCAACATCTCGATGAGCACAGTATCTGGAATAAAGCTTACGCGGCCTGGTGCCGATTGTGCCTTCATTGATCACCTGTCGGGTAGAGCCTCCTCTGGTGCTTGATTTACTCGAATAGGAAAATGATGGATGGTTCCATAGTGGAACATAGATATGAGAATACCAACTCTGGAGCGCTGAACAACGTCCCGGTATTCTGTCTTTTTGATCGGTTGTTGAACACACACAGGTCTAGCTCTCATGATAAGGACATGACCGGGAAGGTGGCCAGATGTAGCCCAGGAGCTTTACGTATGTAAAATATCAAAGATATTGTAGCGGATGGCGCGCAATGACCTTTAATTCGTGGTACTCTGAGTTCACAGCCTGTATAGACACATCTCGTGACATAGTATATTACGAGGTAGAGTCATAAGGAGACCTACGCTTGATCAATCGCAGCACCATGTGCTATACATGTTTGGCTGTCACTCCATCCTGAAGTCCTTATTCCAAACAATATGCGAATCTTCCATTTCAGCAACAAGTTTCCTCCAGATGATCTCTCGGACCTGTTCCGACGACTACGTTTGCATTCAAAGTGCCCAAAACATGTGATCTTGGCCAGAGTGCTAGAGGAGGTAACAGATGTCGTGCGGGAGGAAGTCACTCGGCTTCCGGCCGAATTGCGAAGTCTCTTGCCCCCTTTCCAATCTATCCTCGATCTTGCAGAGAGCTTCAATTGGCATCAAGGGCCATTGTCAGGAACATTCGAGTGTGTCTTTTTGGTTCTTGTACCGGTATGCCTGTTTGTTGGGTGAGTCGACTTCCTAATGCAGAACTCCTGCGATGAAGTAACATGAAATGGTACTAATTTTGATTAGAAATTATGAGAGTCGGCCAGATGAATTCATCTTCCGCCGACATACATCACTGTTTACTGGGCTCGGCCTGGGCTTCTTAGCTGCCACGGCAATCGTAGCATCTCCCTCTTTATGCAACGTGCCAGCCACCGTGGCGGAGGTTGTGCGCATTGCAATGAGAACTGGTCTTCTGATATATCAGAGATCTCAAGACCTCGAACCGCAAGGCCTTAATGGAGCACTTGAGAGTTGGACAAGCATTGTGAAAGGTATGGGCGAGGTAGCTGTACGAGAAGGAATCGACGAATACAATTCATCCACAGTAAGCAAAAACGGGTTATACGTAGGAATAGAGCTAACTATCACACAGGACACTCCACAACCGAGTTCAATCTACATCAGTGTAGTTGAGCCTGACGGCAGTATCTTCATAAACGGTCCACCGTCTAGGCTGCGCAAATTCTTTAACGCGTCAGGAAAAGTGCAATCAGCAGCTCATGCTCCGTTAGCTGTATATGGGGGGCCCTGTCATGCACCACACCTATACAACCACAGCAACAGTTCGTGGGTTGTGAAGCAATGCCGTGCGGAGGTTTCATCTCGTGATATCTCCCATACGGCCCACCTTCTTTCCATGGCAGATGGTAGCCCCTTGGAAGCAGATACGGCAATAGAGCTATTTGAATCCGCCACGTATATTCTATTAACGAGCATCATTCGCTGGGGTGTTGTGGTGGAATCCATCACAACCTCATCGTCACTATGGGAGAATGACATCAAGCTGCAAGTTGACATGCTCAGACCTTCTCCTGCCGTGGATGGCTTAGTGTCTGCAATTCAGAAGAGTCGCCCTGGTTGCACGGCCTGCGTAGTGGACTTTGGGGAGTGGATATTTGATGATGCTCAGATTGATTCACATGTTGCCCACGAAAGGATCGCAGTGGTTGGCATGTCTTGCAGGCTACCTGGAGGGGCGGACGATTTAGAGTTGTTTTGGGAGCTTCTTACGGAAGGGTGCGATGTTCACCAGAAAGTCCCAGCAGACCGATACGATGTTGATAGCCATACAGACGTTACAGGCAAGCGGCCCAATACCAGTCATACTCCGTTCGGTTGCTTTGTAGATCAACCAGGGCTCTTCGACGCCGGTTTCTTCGACATGTCTCCTCGTGAAGCAGGACAAACCGATCCCACCCATCGCCTTGCACTCCTTACGGCCTATGAAGCCCTTGAACAGTCAGGTTATGTTCCTGACCGTACTCGATCTACCAGACGAGAAAGAGTGAGTACGATTTATGGTCAGTGCTCTGATGACTATCGTGAATGCAACGCCGGGCAGGATATCGATATGTATTTCATTCCTGGGAACTACCGTGCCTTTGCACCAGGGAGAATCAGTTACTTTTTTAAATTTTCAGGACCCAGCTTCAATGTTGACACTGCATGCTCGGCGAGTTTAGCTGCTGTTCAAATTGCTTGCTCGGTACTCTCGCGCCACGAGGCAGATATGGTAGTCGCCGGAGGATTGAATATCCTCACAGGGTCCGATAGTTTTGCGGGTCTTAGCAAAGGCTTCTTTTTGTCTAAAACCGGAAATTGCCAGGTCTTTGATGACGCTGCAGATGGCTATTGTCGTGCCGATGGGATCGGATCTATTATACTCAAGCGGCTGTCCGATGCCCAGCAAGATAACGATAATATTCTGGGACTCATCGCAGGCAGCGCCACTAACCATTCCTCCAATGCAATTTCAATAACCCATCCACATGCTCCTACGCAAGCCAATCTTTACCGCTCGATCTTGATGCAGGCTGGCGTCCGTCCACAAGACGTAGACCTGGTAGAGATGCATGGCACCGGCACCCAGGCGGGCGACGCCGCCGAAATCGAGTCAGTTACAAAGGTGTTCAGTCCAGCTGTGCCTCGACGATCACAGCCATTGCGCATTTCATCCGTCAAGGCTAATGTGGGTCACGGAGAGGCGGCAGCCGGCATTACTGCGCTGATCAAAGCACTCTTGATTTTCAAACACAATGAGATTCCACCGCAAGTGTGCCACAGAACGACCTTGAATTCTAGGTTTCCCGACCTTCGACAACTCAATGTGCATATTCCCAGGGAGACCATTCCCTGGCCACGTTTACCCAGTCGCAAAAGGTATATTATGGTCAACAATTTCAGCGCGGCTGGGGGAAATACCAGTCTTCTCTTGGAAGAGCCCCCGGTTAGGCCAAACCCGAAGGAGTGTCCCCAAACGAGATTCGTTGTTACTGTGTCAGCCAAGAGCACAGTGTCTCTAATACGAAATCTGGAAAGACTGCTGGCCTTTCTTGAAATGCATACATTAGTGGATCTTGCAAGCCTTGCGTACACCACCACTGCGCGTCGTGTGCATCACAAGTATCGCATAGTGGTGCATGGGAACTCGATCCAGGAGATAGTTACATCCTTTGAACGCCATTTGACCATCGCAGAGGCTCAGTGTGCGATCCAGAAAGCTCCAACCGTCGCCTTTGTCTTCTCGGGCCAAGGTAGCTTTTACCAAGGTGTTGGGCGCCAACTCTTCCAGGAATACCCACCCTACCGGAAGGAAATCCAACGGTTAAACGAAATATGCACATTCCACGGCTTTGACTCCATCCTCCCAGCAATCACGGGTAAAAGCTCAGATGTACTTGAGATTAGTCCATTCATGGCACAACTGGTGACAGTATGTGTGCAGATCGCCCTATGCCGCTTATGGAGAAGCCTTGGAGTGATGCCGAATGTTGTTATAGGCGCGAGCCTCGGCGAATATGCTGCACTCTACGCTGTCGGGACCCTATCAGCCAGTGATGCTATCTATCTCGTCGGGCAGCGGGCCTGGCTGATGCAGGAATTGTGTACCATCAACAGTCACTCGATGCTGGCCGTCAAGGCGACCGTTGGTGAAATTCGTCACACTGTGCGGGACAACGCATATGAAATTGCATGTATCAATGGGCCTAGAGATGTGACCCTCGCCGCTTCTGTCGAAAATATTAGTGACATCCAACAGACTTTGGTATCGCAAGGATACCGAGTCGCCAAGTTGAATGTGCCCTTTGCGTTCCACTCTTCACAGATCGAGCCCATCCTGGAACCATATAGTAAGATTGCCCAGTCGGTCATCTTCCGAAATCTAAAAACAGCACTCATATCTCCTCTATTGGGTGACGTTGTATATGACAGCAAAGCATTTCCACCATCATATCTGCGTGATAGCACGAGGGGCACTGTGCGGTTCGCTGATGCAATTGCAAAAGCTCAGGAGATGGGGCTAGTGGACTCCAAGACTGTCTGGGTCGAGATTGGTGTGCATCCAAGTTACACCGGTGCTATGCACGCAAACATTCCGAACCTTGAGGTGATGGTACCCAGCTTGAGATCTGACGAAAGCAATTGGCATACATTGGCTGTCAGTATGTCAGCCTTGCATGGGGCAGGCGTTCATCTTGACTGGAACACCTGGTATCAGCCCTTTGAGTCAGAACTACGCCTGCTGAATCTACCTCCGTACCAATGGAATCTAAAGAACCATTGGATTCAACATAACGGGGATTGGCTATTGCTGAAAGATAAACGTTCTAAAACAGGACATAAGAGCTTTCCAGCTCCCGCTCCCCCATCCTTGCGCACCGCCCTCGTGCAACAGATCATGGAGGAATCAATGGGGAAAGATGGTGGAACCATCGTCATCCAGTCAGATGTGACTGACGCTGATTTCTTCGCCGTTGCTTCGGGACACAAAATGAGTGGTCGACCACTCGTCTCGGTGGTAAGTAGTACACTTGGTCCCGACTAATTACCAGACGACTCTTTGACTGACACATATTTTCAGTTCGCTTACACCGATATCGCTCTGACCATGGCGAGGTATATGTGCTCCAGGCTAAAGCCAGGAATCCAGCTCTCGGCCATGGACTTCGGTAAAGTCCGGGTCTTCCAGGGCCTAATTCCCCGGAAGGATAGGTCTAAGTCCCAGTACGTGCGAATGCGCATGCAAGCAGATCCCATGTGCTCTTCCATGCCGCTGTCATTGCATCGAGTCCTCGACGATGAATCAAGTGAGGATGAGCTAGCCACTGGTGTCGTGACGTGCGGAGATCCACGATCATGGCGAGACGAATGGGCCGCTTACTCTCACCTACTGACAAGCCGTATTGAAGCGCTGCATCAGCTAGCAGACCAAGGGCTAGCAAGCCGCGTGTCAAAGGATTTGGTGTACACACTCTTTAAGAACGTTGTTGACTACGCCGAGCATTACCGTGGTATCCAATCGGTTGTCATGTACGGCCTAGAAGCAGTTGCGGATGTCATTCTGTCACCCAGTCAAGATAGCCGGTGGACAGCACCTCCTCATCACATCGACCCCATTACACATGTCGGGGGTCTCATTCTGAACGCTGGACCAGCCATGGACCACACCAACACAATTTATGTCATGGAAGGTTGGGAATCCATGCGGTTCTCTGACCCTCCGGTGGCCGGAGAGCTGTATCGATCTTACGTTAAGATGAATCCTACCAGCGATGATTCCGGGTGTTTTTCCGGTGACGTATATATCTTGTATGGGGACCGTGTGATTGGAAAGGTGCACGAGATGATGCTTCGTCCATTACCTCGCATTCTCATGAGTCGTTTTTTTGACCCCCCAGACGGCCAGTATGGGCAAACGGCTCTGCAAGGACCCTCCTCTTCAGTATCTTCAATATCGCAACAAACAAGTTCAGCCACGACTACAGAGTCCACTCAGTCACAGCAAGATGATTCAGAAAAGACGTCGCTCGTTACGCCTGAGAACGAAACCAAGCCTCCAATCTCGGCATCCTGGCCTAACACCAGCGGCCAGCTTGTCCGTGACGCTATAGCTCTAATCGCGTCCGAAACTGGGGTAGGGTCGGACGCCCTGACGGATGAAACTGAATTTTCTGCGGTTGGGGTCGATTCTCTTCTTTCGCTAGTGTTGGTGGAGAAGTTTTCTCTTGAGCTAAACGTTGATTTGCAAGGTTCTTTTTTCCTGGAAACTCCAACCGTTGGTGATCTGAAAGCCTATCTCGAGGCTAACCAGATGACTATGCGCTGAGATGCGTTTTCAGTGAAGCTTGGTTTATGTAAGGTAACTCTGATATGGTTAAGTTGTAGTTAGTTTACATATGCTTACAAGGCAGATCACTAACAATTATTATGTTGACGAAAAATTAAGGCATGAGCCCGATCGTCGTCTTGAAAATTCTCCTTTCTCTCAGTAAATAAATCTCACCCCTGGTATCCTACTGATCAGTTTGCCTAGTCCTCTTGTAAAAGAGCTCCAAACGCTATGAACATTATCCAGATAGCAATCAGCTGTTGGGACGATGTTGAAGAGCTTGGCCTTATAACGTATGAAGAACTAAGTACCAGGCCACTTTGGACCTTAAAACCAAAATATATATTCAGGCAGCAGAACATGTCACATTTGTGGTAAACTGGTGGGAGTTGGAAAACTCTCGGCAGGTATGATGGTTATTTTCTTTCTCAAGGCGTTCAGGGCGAGAGCAATACAGATCCTACTCGCAAGCAGAATCAGTTACATCCGACAAATAGCACGCAATAAGAGGCCAGCAGGGAAAGATAATAAGCAGCATGGATTCTAATGTTTTTCGTTACCCTGATTGGTGCATAGGCTCCAGCTAGTGATGCGATCAACCTGAATCGGACTTGAACTAGGGCTGAGCCAATCATGTGTTCCATGCCCCGGTGATGAGTTGCTTCACATTATTAATTCTCAATTTGTCAGCATTGGTTCTATATTTATATCAACTCTTAAGTTTAATGATGACTTAAGCTTCTTGTCCACAGGTTCAGCTGTAAAACTCTTATCAGTCTCCTTCCAAATCCCGCCTTGCGTTAGATCCAACCATGGCGCAGGACATCATCGATAACATCGCCGCCGAGGGCATCTCCTACTACACTCCAGCGCAGGTTCCCCCGGCAGGCACGCAAGTCGAGGGGTCAACCAAGCTCTTCAGCCCCCTCACCATCCGTGGGGTGACATTCCCCAACCGTCTATTCCTCGCGCCGCTTTGCCAGTACTCCGCCAAAAATGGCTACGCTAATGATTGGCACTTGACCCACATTGGCGGTATCATCCAGCGCGGCCCAGGGCTTGCCATCATGGAAGCCACGGCTGTGCAGAAAGTGGGCCGCATCACACCACAAGACCTTGGTCTCTACGACGATGGCCATATCGAGCCACTAAAGCGCATTACTGAGTTTGCCCACAGTCAAAGTCAGAAGATTGCTATCCAATTGGCTCACGCAGGTCGCAAGGGCAGTGCTGTTGCACCCTGGTTGAGCGGCAATGCGATGGCTGTCAAGGAGGTCGGGGGTTGGCCGGATGATATCGTTGCCCCGTCGGCAATTCCCCAGGAGGAGGGTATCAATGCCGTTCCCAGGGCCCTGACCGGAGAGGATATCCAGGTGTTGAAGCAAGACTGGGCAGAGGCTGCGAAAAGGGCCGTTTTGGCGAATTTTGATGCTATTGAAATTCACGCCGCACATGGCTATCTTCTGCATCAGTTTTTGAGTCCTGTTAGTAATCGGCGAACGGATGAGTATGGGGGTAGCTTTGAAAACAGGGTCAGATTACTTCTGGAAATTTGTGAGGGAGTTCGTGCGGTTATCCCGACCACCATGCCTCTCTTGGTCAGAATTAGTGCCACTGATTGGTTCGAGTTTGACGTTAACTTGAAGAAAGAGTTTCCTGAGAGCTGGACGGTTGCTCAGTCGATTCGGCTCGCTCTGCTCTTGGCCAACCACGGCGTGGACCTAGTTGATGTTAGCTCAGGTGGTGTCCATGCGAAATCCGCAATCGCCATTCGGTCCAGCCCTGGCTATCAGGTTCATTTCGCTCAAGAAATCAAGAAGGCTGTGGGCGACAAGCTACTAATATCGGCTGTTGGTGGAATTAAGACGGGGATTCTGGCCGAGGATGTGGTGCAGTCTGGTATTGATGCAGTACAGGCTGGGCGTTGGTTCCAGCAAAATCCCGGCCTGGTTCGCGCGTTCGCTAATGAGCTAGGTGTGAAGGTGAGGATGGCTACCCAGATTGATTGGAGTTTTGAGGGTCGTGGAAAGAAGGCAAAGAAAAGCTCGTTATAAGTCTGTCAGCGATTACTAGAGGATAGATTCTTCATACTAGGTCATTCCGACTATTCTTCATTTGTCTAAACCAACAAGCACGTACAGTAGAGCAAATAATTAAAGGCAAATACAGTTCTATCGCTCGACCAAAGACTGAAATCAATGTATACAAAATAGCGAACCCTAAGGACATCGTACGCAAGATTAACCAGGGTAATATGGAACCCGTGGATTATCTACTACAGCATCTTCAGATGTTAATCTCATGAAGTTAATTCATTGGACTTTCCAATAAAGCTCTATGAAATTCGTACACAACTCCGAAGGCGGTCTTTCCTTAGTACATCACTAGTACCATCTGATAGTCTATGAGAGGATTTGGGTAGCTGATCTCACTTTGAGGTAGGTTTATTACATTGTCTCTACCTTTTGGGTGATGCCTTTAGTTCCACAGTAAATCCAGTGCAGGCATAGCTTAGTTGTATCACGCCGCGGAGAACATCGTACCGTCAGCGAGACCAGGTCTCACATATCAGTCACCGCAGGGGCCTCATCCAAGGGCCTGGAGGTCTTCGGCGAATTCACTGGCCAGCCAGAAGATTCACAGTTTATTAGTAGCAGGAAGGCATAAACGAGTGGCACACTCAACATTTTTGGAAGGATCGAAGGCGATACTGTCAGCAGGCCCACGTCCTTTGTTCGGATATCTCGGATTGTCAGAAATTGCATCTGCTCCTCCCCAACAGGCACGCACATGAAACCAGACGTTTGCCGTCCTATCAATTGCCCCTATGTGTTCGATTGGGTCAAAGACGCCGTTCATGGTATTCCCAGCCGTGGCGTTGAGAAACAGCGTCCTTTTGCCAGTTTCAATTGTGACATCAACCGCAGCTTCAAGAGCGTCTACCACCGTCATCCATGCTTCCAATGAAGGCACACTAATACCAGGGTCATTCCTTGTAGTTCGGGGAATACTTAGGGTCTGTGTAGCGAATCAGCCCTAGTCGTGAATAGAATCAATGATCATCCCCCAGGAGGTTCTGGATCACAACTCATGCTGCGAATTCTCGGTTAGCTGCATAAATGTTCCATGAATTCTGTCGGTATTGGTGAACTACTTCCCATCGGGCCTCTTCCACCAAACATTACACCGAACAGACCGTACGCAGTTCGTCATTCACAACCCCGGGGACGAAAAGAGGCAACGGGGACATTCGACCAGAAGACTTCCTTTCGCTTCCAGAAGCTGGCATAGTCGCCCGAGGAGAACTGAACCTTAATGACAAAGAAAGTGAAAGTTTCATGGAGATTAATCATTCCACCAGCTGCTTAACGAAGGTCAAGAGAGAACTCACTCTAAAACTTGTGGGTACCGAAGGCGGCAGACAGGTGTGCGAATAGACCTGACAAAAGCCCCCAACTGGCAAGGTAAAAAACGTAGTGGTGTCCACATCAGCACAGAAAAGGGCCAAGAGAGCCGAGGCAGTCATCACACAAGTTACACAAGGTAGTGAGGTACCTATACGGAGTAGATAGAAAATAGTAGGGATCTACAATAGGGATGGCTGAGCGTCAGGCCAGCAACAGGCGGGGGATAGGCGCCACCCAAACAAAGAAATACGTGCCAAGGCGGAAAGATGCAGAATTACTTCAAAAGGCCAAGAAAACGCTGGGTAGTACGTACTAGTAAAGGGGGCTGGGCAACGAATCCACAACGCAAAGCTACCAGGTATTGTACAAGCAGAATCGCGAAGTGCGCAAATAGATTGTGTGAGTCTTATAAGTTAAAACTAATACTACCACCAAAACCAGCTCCCATAGCTCAGTTGGTTTAGAGCATCAAGCTTATATGACCATTGTACAATGTACTAGGTTGTATGCGTCTCTTGGAGGTCGACGGTTCGATCCCGCCTGGGAGCACTTTTTTTGGCTCTTGCTCCTATATCATACGAGCCACATTCCCTCCAGTCAAGCACTCTCTAATTTGTTTCGAATCAAGCATCGCTACTTAGCAGTTATCGTATGTTGATGGGGCAAGTCATGAATAATGGATTTTATACTACGGAGTAAATATTATCGTATCATTTATCGGTGACTGAGAGTTGAGCAGGTCATTATATATAATCATCCCAGGTGGTCATCCAAGTCATAAAAGAAACATCCCCAGCAGTAAAGGAACGACTAGTAGATATGGGTGTACTATTAAGAGATACGGAAGAACAATCTTTTCCACCTTCCTCACATGTTCTTCAAAGTAACATGTGTATATTCTTCTATTATTTCTCCCCCACGCGTATGACATTCGTAATCTCCTCTAGTGGTCACTACGGTCTTCGTCATATCTAAACCCGATTATTTCCCATTTTCTTTATAACACTGGATTCTGCCGATAGAGGGCTCAAGTAGGAAAGCGGAATGATAGAGATTATTTCCCGGTTATTTATCAATCTGCTTCATTCTTCCCAAACAGATGTTTGAAATTCGTACATAAACCACTACATTGTTAAGTTTTGCTGTACAGCGTTTTTGTTTCTTCGCTTTCTCTAGACAAATAGTTTAGATCGCCAGACATTATGAACATACATAACATCTTCTTCGCAAGCCTCGGCCTAGTGGTACTCGACGAGATCCGCCTTCCCCATAGGAAACCGCTAACCGATATCCTTGGTGGTTCTGGCGCTTACGGTGGGCTTCCTACTTTACACCTCATATTAGTCAATAATTAATGGGAGATGGTGTTGATAGCCACGCTCGGTGCTCGGCTATTTCTTCCACATCCAAAAAGCCATTCCTTAGGCTGGATGGTCCATGTTGGAAGTGACTTTCCGAGACCCGTCGAAGACCGTTTACAAAGCTGGGATGTGACATTGATCATAGAAAGAGAATCAAACGAACTTTCGACTAGAGGTTTACTTGAATACAAAGATACTACATTTGGACGTGCGACATACCTTTGTTCATTGCAATTTGATCCACCCCCTGCCCTACCGCCGACACAATCTTCTCATCATCACTTTACTAGATGTTTTGTCTACTATATCCATAGGTCTAGCTAACACGTCTTCTAGCCAAGGAGTTCAAATACACAACACCCATCCTCGCAATTCAGGATGACAGCTTGAATAACACACCACTCCTGACATCTAGGGCATATCATTATCTCGAAACGCCTCAAAATATTACCACCCGTCTCTCGAGTCTCCTTGCTCTAAGGGAAAAGGCAGGTGCGCAGGAACGCCCCTTCATTATCTGGGAGCCTGCCCCATTCTCGTGTTCAGTGGTTAATCTGCAAAGTTGTCTCAACGCTGTACGTATGGTTGATGTATTCTCCCCGAATCACCTAGAATTAGCCGCCCTATTTGGGCAATCGCGACCCGTCGTAGCAGACAAGGATAAGATTGAGTCTCAGGCACTGCGGTTCTTAGACAGCGGCGTGGGCCCGGACGGAAACGGTACGGTGATTGTCCGGGCAGGTGAGCATGGCTGCGTCATTATGGCTCGTGATATGTCTCCTATTTGGCTACCACCATTCTACCGATGTAGACCAGGAGATAAACCAGACGCTAAGGTGGTCGATCCTACTGGCGCTGGTAATACATTTCTTGGGGCATTCGCTGCTGGGTATCTCCAAACGGGAAGTATTGTTGAGGCTGGTTGTTATGGCTCCGTTGGAGCTTCTTTTGCCTTGGAGCAGGTGGGCATGCCGGAAAGGAGCCACGATGGAGAGGAGGAACGGTGGAATGGTGCTAATGTGCTCGCAAGATTGCATGGATATCGGAAGACTATTGGACTCCATAATATCCGTGGTTAATTTAATCTGGGAAGGCCTTTTATGGTGTCAAGTGTTTGATATAGTGTAGACTAGTGTAGCGTAAAAAGCTCGAGCAGGTGCAGCTGTTATGTCGCATGGTGACTCACGGAGTTAGTATACATTTGCTTTTAGTACACTCATGGCTGAATCTAAAGACAGTATGTAGCCTCTTGTGACTACAAAGTTAAAACCTTTGGTGGGATTTTGGTGTCATGGCGAACTTCCTCTAGAATCCACCTTCAGGGTTGCAATTGCCTTTATTTCCTTCTTTGTTCTTTTCTCTATTTCTCCTGTTCACTAGCACTTACGATTACTTCGGCGAAAAGTTGAAACTCTCGGCGAGAAAGGCTTACTACTCCATCTTATAATTAGCTTACTCCAGTCGTAAGGGCACAAACAGGCTGAGAGAGCCTATTGTCGCAACCAACGAAGCCAGGCCGACCTCGCTAGTGACAAAGATAATATCAAACCACGACTTTATGCATGCCCAACGGCACCGCCGAAATATGCCAACAACCATGAGTACAGGCAGCAGCGAAAGAACAACCAAACATCCGGTCCTGCTTTACGTTGCATGCAATATATCCCGCAGCTCCTCCGACAGAGGATACACACATTCTATCGGAAGAAGGCCTTCCGCTTCTTCGATATCCCCCTTATCTAGGGCCCTCTTGACATCCCCCATAAGACCCGTCACGTCTGTGATCGAAACGATCCACTCGTCAACGTATCGCTCAACAGCCTCCCCACTGAGCCCAATCTGAATAGACCGATGCCCCAATGGCCGATGCCACAGATCTCGCTCCGGATCCCACTGTACACGAACAGGACTCTCGCGGAGCCGCTGGCGCCATTTGCCTTGTTCCTGGTCCTGGTTGCCAGGTACATGACTGAGGCAGGATCTTTTCAGGGCCCATTCGAAGCCCTTGCGGGTGACCTCGATTGCCAAAACACGTTCTTGGTTTGGTTTGGTGGCCCAGCCGCAGCGGTAAGCCATCCAGAGGAATGAGGGCTTGATCCAGGTCATGCGGGTGCGGGAGAACGGAGGGACGAATTTCTGGGCCCTCACAGCGGGTTCAGCGATTTCGGGGGAGAAGGCTTGGTAAACTGTGACCGTGGATTGAGTGGATTTGGCACGTATCGCTCGGAAGGGTTGGGGAATGCGGTTATTCGTAGCCATTGTGTCTTTATGTACGCTGTCGCGGTGGATGATATTTGCGATGCTCATTTGTTGGGAGAGAATGATTAGGTATCCGACGGCCTTGTTGATTTCACTTGATAGATTTCGTCACACGATTTACGAGGCCTCATTGCTCTTGAACGATCAGCACCTAGCTTTATGAAAGAATGGGAAAGCGGTCTTTTGGGGGAATGAGTCAATCGATTCATAGCTGCGGGGCAGAAGGTTGACTCATGCTAAGAATAACTCGTATTCAACCAGCCGTAGTGGGAGGGCCTGGTCTCATTCAGTGGAGGTTGAACTGTTACCCTTTTGGCCATCCCAGCTGCTACAACAGTGCGGGAGCCAGTATATCATCCGAATTGAAATTTGATTGGTGTATCGGCTACGGTGATTGGGGATTAGAACCAAAAACAGAGTATGTGGGAAATTTTCAATCTGTTAACAGCTTTATGACCCTCTCTGATAACTTTAATCGGCGGAAGCGCACTTACAGAGCATTGTCAAAACTGTACCCTTGGCTTCGATGGGGTATTAGAGAAAGATACTCCAACAGACTTGGGGTGTGAATGTGGACAGGGTAAGTTTACTCTTTCGAGGGATATGTTTTGTGATAATAATTAGCTTATATAATATCTAGATCACAGATTGTTAAAGATTGATCTTAGTAGGTCCCCTATCTTGACTTAGAAACCTGACCGCGTACCCCGACTAACAAAAGGCCTATAGATAAAGTAGTTTCCGCCGATGCAGGGTACCTAAGTTGTTTTGGTCAAAAGGGGTGCTGAGAGGGTAAGTGTCAAGCTCTTGGCTGACGGCTTAACCAGACTATTAATATTGCCTAGTATTGGAATTTGTAATATACTTGGCTGTTCTAAGGATTTTGTGAAAGAGTTTAACATTGGGGATACTATAGAGGAGCAGATATTTCCGAAGTAGATATCCCTGAACAGGAATATAATGGGTTGTGCGAAAAGAACGTAAAATGATGTCTGATGTCTGATCCGAAACATAGCTAAAGTCCACCGTAAGATGGCCAGATCAGTTGACGCGATAGACCTGTAAAATATCAGCTCTACCGGAAAACTGAATGACCGTTGATTAGCCACGCTTGCGTTTCTCGGTAGCTGAGATAACCTGAGGGCCTGGGGGTGGCCCGTTTTCACCCTTTATACCAAAACAACTCAGCATACCATCATTATCATTAATAACTATGGTATCTATAGATCTTTTGTTAGTAGGGGTATACAGTCAAAATTGTAACGTGACCTACGGAGATTAAAGCGGTACGTGTCCTGTGTATCTAAATATTTTATTAATTTCTTAATACCAGGAGAGAGATATGTATCAAGAAAGGAAACTTACCCTGGCCACAAAGGCACTGCAAACCACTACCCACTGGTTGTAATGATGTGCACTCATGGCATTGTGCCGACAACCCATTCCCACTTATAAGTTATTCCAAATGTTAGCAAAGCTATTAATGTATACAAAGCTTGTCACATCACATACCTTTTTCTGGGTTGTATATAGTCATCGTCGGTGTTCCAGCTAAAGCACTGGTCCAAGTCCAAGTGGCTTTCTATAAGGCCCCCACTACGTTCTGGGCAAAGAGCGGTTACCCAGGCTTTCTCGCCCTTCGCATGTTGTATCACACGGACAGTAACGCAAGAATCGTAGACCCCACGCACGGGTTTCTCGGTAGTCGAGATATCCTGAGGGCCCGGGGGTGGCCCGTTTTCACCCTTTATACCAAAACAACTCAGCACACCATCATCATTCTGAACTGTTTCATCTATAGGCCTTTCGTTAGGAGGACTCCACACCCAGGAATTTGGGCTAAGGGGAGGGACCTACTTAGTTGGAAAGGGAAGAACGGCTGATAACCTAATTCTATTATTATCAAGTTATTCAGACCGGAAGACATATTCATATAGGGAAAAAGGAATCTTACCCCCCTGGCCACAGAGACATTTCAAGTTCCATCCCCATTGTTCTAAGGAATTCGCTTCAAGGTAAACCTTACAATGATGACATAGCGCGGAAAATCCCGGTCCACTGATTGAAAGTTATTCAAAATGTTCACAAAGCCGGTAATCAGAATCGGTCCACATACTCTTTTTCTGGCTTTATATCAAGGGTATCCCAGGTGAAACACCGATCTAAGTCCAAATGGCTTTCCATTTGATTTCCATCACGTTTTTGGCAGGTGCCGGTCACCCAGACTTTCTCACCCTTTGAGTGTTGTATCACACGGGCAGGAACGCAAGAATCGTACAACCCTCCCTTGAGCTCAATAGGGTCCCCATTCTCTTGAGGCTTACCAGCAGCAGCGAAAGCTACCAGTGGCAAGAAAACAAAGGGCAAGAATCGAAGCATCGCAGCAGATGGAAGATGAACGAATCAATACTATCTTGGAGGAAGTCATCAGGTATTATATATCGAGGGTCCCTTTATATCTAATGTACCTAGTCTATCCTATTCCCTGGATCTCTACTGTGGCCTTGGCCGTAATTCAAAAGCCCCGCTGGCTTTATCGTTGATGATGTCCTAAAACAGGGCGCTTTGTTCTAGTCGGGCAAAGTAGACATTTTGGGCGAGCCGGGCAAACCAGGCAAGTTGGGCAAGTCGGGCAAAAGCAATATCTATATATAGTTATATCTTAGATATCCCTACTATTTTGATTGGTTAACTAATTCAATTGCTTATAGCATATCGTTGGTAGGTCCCCACTATCATACAGCCACACAGTAATAGGATAATTAATGTTCTAGACTAAAGGCTCAATACGTTTAGTACAATAGTCTTCCTATAGAAGATATATTTATAATATACTACTTTGCAGAAGCTGTTCTAAGGATTCTTGATAGGATGTAACGTTAGTAGTACTATAGGGGACTTAGAAAAAGAAAGCCGATCTGACGGAACATAGCTATACTCGGTCGACAGTCAATCGAGTGTCACCGGTTGGGCCACTCTAAAGTATCATATCTTTACTGAAAGGAGTGACGGTTGATTGGCTCTGGAAAAGCTGAATACTTACTTAGTTCACGACCCTTCAGACCGAAACAACTCAGATAACCACCATCATTGGAGATGATTCGATCTATAGGACTTTTGCTAATGGGGGGGGGGGGGGGGGTACACAGCCAGCATTTTTGGGTTAAGGGAGGAGACTGACTTAGATTAATAGAGACAGTATCAACATCTGAATGTTTCATAAATTTAGTAGTGCCAGAAGATGTATTGATTAAGGAAGGAAACTTACATGAACAGATACATCTCAGAACTCCTCCTTCAAGATCACAATGAGAGCATTGTGCCCCAAATCCATTCCCTCCTATGGAAAGTTTGTAAGATGTTGAGCAAAGCTGTTAACAGATTTAAAGCTTCCCACAAACTCTTTTTCTCGCCGTATATGGTCGGCGTCCCAGCTGAAACACCAAAGCGGTTTACCCATGTACGTCCATTAGACAAGTTCGATCAGACAGGATGGCCCGCCGTTAGACTCCTTTCTAGCATAGTCCACACTGACAGCAGAACAAGTGCTCAAAAACCCACCCTGGGTGTAATTGACAAGTAGTCTTATTCTCTTCACCACCCTTGGTTTCTCAGTAATCTGAGGGATCCTTTGGGGGTTCATCGGCAACTAAAGCTGCCAAGGGTAACAGAACAAGAGGCAGGAATCGATACATAGTTCCAGGTGAAAGATGAACCAATAGCTATTTTGTAGGAAGTAAGATATTATAAAAATCCATGAGTCCTCTTATCTCTACGACAGCGTTGGTAGTTATATATCTTAGGACAGGGCAGGGCAGATTCTTCTAGCCGGGCAAATTGTGTAAGTCAAATAAGGATAGTTAAAACTTATATCTGTATAAACGTTTAAGATCCGTAGTACAGAGTATGTTAAATAAGAAGATATCAGTTTAATTACTTGTAAGTTGTAATCTATGACTGTTTTTGATCCACACAATAATGGAATGATTGATATTCTTGATTGAAGGTTTAATTAGTTATCTGTAAAGTCTTCTTAATAAAGACTAGTCTATTGGTGATATATCGTAGGATTCCGTATTTTTTAGTCGAATCAAGGTCCTCAAAGAAACCATGGTTATTCAAGTCGTCGTCAGTAACCTGTTGCTAGCTGGGAGAATAAATCAATGTAAGTTATGCTCAACGCTGTGACTCTGCAGAATTTTTCTTCTTTTCCCTTATTTATTCTATTTTTCTTAGTAGGATCACCTAAGTATAGGTTTTTAAAGAAGGGCCGTAGAAATAAAGATTATTTGTTGAATATATATCTTTGTCTTAGTCCGGCTTATGCCGAAAGAACTCTCTAATATTGTTCAAATTCAGTTAACTACCGGGTTCTTCGGAGTTGTCAGGTTGTTTATTGTATTGTCAGTCTCAAGGGATTCTGTGGTGCACAACTAAGGTTTGGATAGCCGTCTCTTATTGAGCATGTTTATGAATGCGAAGACCTACTCGTATAATTCCTCCAGCTTGAGAGTTTAGCCTCCTTCCCAAATCACCAGGCAGCTAAAGCCCTATTTTGAATAGGACCCAAAGGATAGCTTGGCGGTATGCATGTGGTAGCGCTAGTTGACACAAGTCAGGTTCTTGAAGTTGCTACTATATATGGTTACAATGTTTGCCTCAGCTGCCTGTTCTAAGTCTCTATCCATGATACAATTATCCCGCACATGTATGAACATCTAGACGGAGATCATTCGCGGCCCAACATTTCACGCAAGATATACCCCGACTGAGAGCGCACAATGTAAAAATTCTGGTTCTTGATCAGACCGGACATTGCAGAGGTTTGTCTGAGCAAACACAAATCGGCCTGTCTTTCTTATCTCGACAAAATTGAGATGTTTTTATGCCACACATAGAATGCCAATCCCCGCAACAACAGGCTTCGCCCCCACCAGTATAGCGAACAATGGAATGTTGAGAGTAATCATGAAGATGCTGGTTCACCATTGTCTTCAATCTCGTCGAAGTCTGCGGCTTATAGCACGTAAGCGCGTCCACTGTGCCATAGCAATCTAAACCATTATCGGCCACGTACTCAGTACGAGAATCAGAAAGAAGACATCGCCTGCTGGATTTACAATAACCGCTTGTGTGCTTCCCTGTTAACGACCCCCGAGGGCTGCGACCTCTATCGGAAGAGCAAAGTCTCCCTTTCCCACATTCGTTGTTGTTGCTGTTGTTGCTGTTGTTCGTATTGCAGGGTACAACACATTGCCTTCGCTTTTCAGGCTTTACATAGAGTTCCAAGCTTGTGGGGTTCACGTTGGCGGTACAAAGTGTGGCGTCCTGACATGATGAGGCAATTCCAGGTCGACAGTCATTGGAAGTCTGGCATAGAGTTCCCTCCTTTGTAAATATGTCGCCATCGCCGTCCAGGATATAGTTGGATTTGTCTTTTATGCTGGAGGAATGTCCATCTGATTGAGAGTCCGCCAGATTGGATAGGGCACTGTTCGCATTGTAAGGCTTGCCTGGAACTAAAGGATGAGTCGGCTGGGTCTGATACGTCCTTGAACCTTTGGCACAAAGTGCGGGATTCCGCCATATTGCATCTGCGGCATACTTCCATAGATTGGCATAATTGTACCAGGTCTCAGGAACGAGGAATATCCTGCAGTCAGCAGCCTCATAGAGATATTGCAAGGGGGTGGCAGAGGTGTCAGTGTGTCGGATCTGGTCTCGGAGATTGACTGTGGCGGTAGTAATGAGGAATGCAGGCGTGAGGTTGGGGAAGTCCACATGCCTGGATTTATCAATGTCTCTCGCCAGTTCAATGTCTCGACGCATATTTTCAGCCTTGTAAACGGCTGCACCGCGGGTTCCGCTCGGTGCCTGCATCGGCCCATAGCTGGGTTGGCCTCCGATCACAACGGTTTGCACTCCCGCTACGTGATGCATAAGTTCCATGAAAAGTGCACATGCCGACGAGCAGAGCCCGTCGCTTAGAATAATTATGTCCTCCGGTTTATATGGCTGACCGTTATCATGCTTGTCAAATTCAATTCCAGCTGCTGACATGGTAAATAAGATGCTTGATAGATTGTATTGCTCCTAAGGGTCAATATCCCCTTCCGTCAGCACCATGAATTTCATCGAAGAATGTGCGAAAGGGAGTGGTGGGACTTACCTTCTTTGTAAAGCCATCTTTATAATAATGGTCTTGTGGCCCGACAAAATCATCCCACGAGATGAAGTTTCTTCCAGTGTCTTGGTCCAGGCGGCCGGTCACCACCCACTCGTTGGTTACTAAGTTGTAATACTCCGGATGGTCCATGGTGAGGTTCTGCCAGTAGGTTGTTAGGGCGGAACCCAGGGCGTTTGCCATTGGGTGAACACGCCGACGACTACTTGCCCACGGCTTAATAGAAGGGAAAAACTATATGGAAGCATGGGTTAGTCAAGAACGGAGACACAACAGACTCGATCGCGTTGCAGCGTTAACTCACTATCTTAAAGACCTCAAGTGCTAGCAGAGGGCTTCCACCCGTGTTCTGCTGTACATCAATAACTACTTTCGTAAGGCCTGCGTTGGTACTGCGCGCGAGGAATTTCTTGACTGTGTTGCTGAACGATTGGGGCGCATTGCTGTCAAAATGTGGAAGGCTGAGGACTGCTAAGGAGGAATCATTCAAGAAGTAACCTCTTAGAAGTGCCCCGCCATCTCTAGAGTAGCTTTCCTCTATGACATCAGCTTTTGAAGGATATGCTGGGTTTTCAAATAGTGTTAAGTTCGGGGCTGCTCGATTGAAGATAGTCGTCATGTCTGCCTCCCGGTTTTCGTCGTATGGTGCAGGATAGCGGCCTAAAACAAAAAAATTATAGAAGTCGTCCCCCGTCTGCAGCGGTCCATTACCATCATGGCAGCAGAACGAAGCCTTCCAAGGAAGAGGACCGAGCGCAGTGCCGTTTTCGAATGTAAATGTAATGAAATCTCCTGGGTAGAAGGTGGCAGCTCCATAGAAGACCTCTTGCTTTCCTTGGACGTCCAATGCCGCACTTCGCATCAACATATTCCAATCTGCATGAGGCTCGAGCTTTCCGGCGGAGTGAACGGCAGCAAATTGTATCAGGTACTCAACGACATCCTGACCATTGATGGTTGCGATGGCCGACGGCTGCCAAGGGAGGTAGCCCGTTTCGTTGGCGAATAGGTCATCTAGAATTGCTAATGTCAGCAACTATAACCTTTTAACTTCCCTGCGTACCTACCTGAGATGTAGACCTTGGGCAGCTCTACCCCGTCCAACGAAACAGACACGATGCTGTAAGGGGCTGCATATGTAAATCGAGAAAGTGCGCCGCCGACAAGTTTAAGATGATCATCATGGGCAGCATGGATCAACTGGTTCAGGGCTGCCTCAAAGGCATATTCATTGCGGAAGACATTATTGTCAATATCGTGCTGGAGCTGAGACAACCCGGCCACGAGGTCTACGGCCGGCTGCTGGTAGCTCTGTGGTGGATTGGCCAAATAGGCGAGAGTGCTGTGGAACTGAATAATGTCGTTGACGTATTGAACAAGTTGATTGGCAATATCTGCGCGGAACGGAAGGCTCGTCAGACAATTGTAGGCTTGGCTCGCGTCGAATATAGAAACTTGTAAATTGCTCATGGTCAGCACCTAGAGCTATTATTTTCTTTGCTTCGATCATTACGTACTCTCATTTTCGACAATTTCACTGCAAATGGTTGGATTGGAAGTCAAAGCACTCGTGGAAGATGTCGACAGCTGCTGCGATGTCACCGCGAGCACCTGGATCAGTATGAGCACAAGTAAGCCGATGATCTGCCGCATCATGGATCTTGACTGAAAATGTGTTGTTGTTGTCGTTTTGAAGTTATTCTAGATGATTATCTACTTAACGTCTTGCTATCACTATTTATACCTTGCCATGAGACGGCACATGCGTTTGCACCTTCAGATAATTCCCCTTCAGCCGCTCTTAGAAGTTCCTCTTGATACAACTACTCACAAGGTTCTAGTTCTTTGATTAACCAATCCGTACCATTCGTTGGTTTGTACCTTTTCTTTCCCAAGCCTTGGCAGGTTCCAAGGAGCCCCCGGAGGGCGGGATTATAGAGTCCCGTTTGCCAGAGTAGCAGACACTCAGCCTCGTGTGGTGAGTCCGCCACAGCCAAAGATCCTGGTTTCAACCAAGACAAGTCGTAATATTGAAACCGAACCAACAGCATGACGCCTAATTATAAATACTGAACACTCATTGCTCATACGTTACCCCAGGGTGCTTTCAGCCTTGCTTTACTGGAGGCCTTCACACACATATGAAACCCAAAAGGAAACCATACTGAGTAAGGGCACAGCACAGTATCTTGCCTTGATTTGGTCTCATTCTGCTACAGTCTGTTTATCCTGATAATTTCCGATCCTTGCTGCGGAAGGCAGGCCCATCTGACTATACTTGCATACCGCATGGACTCTGAGGTCTGAAATGCCGTTTCGTCCCTCATAATTGCCGAAAGGTTCAGTATTGCTGGTAGCCCCTGAAAAGCGGACACACGTTCCTAAGGCTTACTTGTCTCATATCTCATAAGTGGCGGTCAGACGTAGCATCACCCATTTTCCTTCATCCTCCCCCTCGTTTTTCGACTTCTCTCCCATTCTCTCACAATATTCCACATTCACTTTGACTCTAGTCCATAGTAACCAACACGGTAACCGCAGTATGGATGACTCAAATTGCATTCTTCTCACTCATGATGCCTACACCGTCGGCTGGGTTTGTGTTCTGGACTCCGAGCAAGATGCCGCCAGGGCTCTCCTAGACGAACTGCACACCCCACCACCTACCCCTCGCGATGAGAACTCATACATTGTCGGCCGCATGGGGAAGCACAACGTCGTCATTGCTAGACCTACTGGCCAAGGAAAAGCCAATGCTGCTGACGCTGCGGTGAACATGACTCGTACATTTCCCCAGATCCGCTTTGGATTGCTGGTAGGTGTTGGTGGAGGCGCCACAGACTCCCCTGACCCCTACGTTGGAAGGAGAGACATTCGGCTCGGAGATGTTGTTGTCAGCAAGTCTCAGGGAGAGCATGGTACGTTGATGACCTAGGGTCTTAGACTCTGCTATATTGCTGCCACTAAGGACGTTATCAAACCTTACCTGGCTAATGCGTGACTGAACGCGATTTAGGCGGAATTTTTCAGTACGATACGGGTAAAAAGTACCCTGAAGGGTATAAAATTATATCACACCTGGACAAACCGAAATCTGCTTTGATCGCGGCGGCAAATTTGCTCCGATCAAACCACACTTTCAAGAGGGGGAACATGGAAAAGTATGTACAGGATACAATTGCCAAACTCCGGGATCTGGATATGCCATACTTTGACTTTCCGGGTCGCGAACACGACCTGCTGTTCCGGGCAGAATATCGCCATCCTGACCAAAACGAGGATTGTAACAACTGTGACCGAACACAAATAGTAGATCGGGCCCCGCGGCCGAGAGTCGGTCCCTCCGTCCATTATGGCCTCATTGCATCTGCGGACCTCACTATTCAAGACCCAGTGTTCCGGGATGAGCTTCGCAAGTCTAAAAAAGTACTGTGTTTCGAGAAGGAGGCGGCGGGCCTGATGGATCGCTTCCCATGTATTGCCATCCGGGGCATCTCGGACTATGCGGACACTCATAAGTGCAAGAAGTGGCAGCCGTATGCTGCTATAACTGCTGCGGCCTATGCAAAGGATCTATTGGCGGTGATTCAGCCTCATGAAATTGCTGAGGATGCAGCGGCGGCGAAAATTCTTGAACAATGTACGTAGTGTCTAAATGAGAAAGGGAAGGGGGCAAGGTTCCCACCTGATTCAAAAGGCAAGGCAGATGTGCTAACAAAGGATCTTGGCTGTAGTCACACATGGTTTGAATGAAGTAAAGGAAAGATTTGATAAGATGCACACGGCACTAGACACCGAATACCGCCACAAAATCCTGGATTGGCTCTCTACATTGGATTTCAAAACCGAGCAGGAAGATCTGTTTGGCAGATCCGTGCCAACTGGAGGGTGGCTGCTTGAATCCGATGTATTCAGGCGTTGGGCCGAAGGCAGTCGCTGGCAACTTCGATGTTACGGCGAGGCTGGCACAGGCAAGGTACGCTATCAGGTGGATGATAGATATCCCGCAATATTTGATAATACCTTTTACTGATTCATTTCATCGACCAGACCAATCTCTGTGCTATGGTGATTGACCATCTCCAAAAGGCTTTTGTTTTGCGAAGGCCAGTCATCTACCTATATCTAAGTGATGATGAGCATAAACGAGTCCAACAAACTCCAGATCGTCTTCTAGGTAGCATGCTAAAGCAGCTAATTTCGTGTGATCCCAACGTCGATATACCAGAGAAGCTCGTAGACGCGTACGAGGGCCGTGGCAACGGAGCACATTCGACTAGCCAAATTATGAAGCAAGCGTTTCAGGACTTAGTAGCCAAACAGAGTCGTGTATATCTTATAGTTGACGGTTTGAACCAATGCTCGCCCGAGGTCTCAGAACTTATCAAGGAATATGCCCTAGGGCTTGTTCAGGATGGCCTTCCCTTGAGCCTTCTCACCACCTCGCTGGGATACCGAGAAGTTAAAAGAACAATTTTCTGCAATCACTGCGGCAGACAAAACCTTCCGATGTACGTTCACTGTGATTGCCATGATGGACGATTTGACTTGTGTCTGGACTGCAAACAACAAGGAATCACCTGTCCCAAGAACCACATTGGTGAGGAGCCATATGACACAGTGCAAATAGAGGTACGCGCGCGACATGACGAGCTCGTAGAATATTCTCACAAGATGATCAGTCGGACATTGAAAACGGGCCGCGATCGACGGGATGAGCGCGTTCATCCGTTGCCGAAGTACAACCCCCGGCCTGTTGCGCGATACCTACGTGATAAGCCCGGCCTAGTTAATCGCATTTCTCGGGAGATTGCAAGGAACGCGCAATGCAGTTTTATCATTGCGCAGGCTTGGCTACAGAACTTGTTAGAGCGTGACACGGAGCCAGGGGATGACGAAAAGCTACTTTGCTTTCTAGACAACATACCAGTGGAACCTTTGACCGCGTACTTAAATGAGCGGATTGCGAAGCTTAAAAGGTACAAGAAAGCGAGCGAGCTACGCGTAGCATTCACGACGCTTACCTTGGTTATGTCGGCTTGTCAGCCCCTGACCCTACCGCAATTGCAGCATGCGTTGGCCCTCAAAAGTCCTTCAGGGCAAGTCGTAGAGTCAAACCTAGCCGACAGAGTTTTCATTTTGAAGTCAACAAACGGGTTAATTACCATAGAAATTGGTGACGAGTCGCACTCTTTCGTGTATTTCTTTCACAGTACATTGCGAACTATATTCGCCGGAAGTGGCCATCACCCATTTTTAAGGCGTGCAGAGTACAAAATGGCGAAGGTCTGCCTGAAGTATTTACAGGATGAGCAGTCTTTGAAACATTATGAGAATATCACGGCGTATCCTTTTCTGTCCTACGCTCTAGAGTTTTGGGGAGACCACGTTCGCAAAGCGCATGATGTACGGATTGAGAAGGCAGCGCTTCAGTTCCTCAACGATCCTGTTCGTTTTGCACGGCTCACCCAAGAAGCCGCAAAGTGTGGTCCAAAGGGATCTGAGTGGATCCATGAAGCTATGGACATTCTTCACCTTTGTGCTTGGTTTGGTTTAACCAATCTGGTCACTCTCCTGATTGCCGAAAACCATGATGTCGCCATACGGGATCATAAATATAGCCGTACCCCCTTACGATACGCTTGCATCAAGGGCCATGACGAGACGGTCAAAGAATTATTGAAGCACAACACTCCTGTAGAGGAGGAGGCAGTAGTCGACGCTATGTGTGGCTTAACTTGTGCGAATCACCTGCAGAGCGAACAGGAGAGGCGGCGAAAGATTGTTGAAGGACTTCTGGAGACAGGCAATATTGATGTCAATACCAGATTAGGCGCAAAGAGCCGAACGATGCTCACGCTTGCGGTGGGACACGGTCATTATGACTTCGTTAAGGTGTTCCTAAGCCATAAATTAATCGACGTCGACGCTCAGGATTTGAATGGCTGTAGTGCATTATCGTTTGCGGTATATTCAGAGGAAGGTGTTCCTATCGACAGTTTCGATGCAGTGGCAGATCACGTATACATTCCACGTTGCGAACTTTTCAACGATATATGCTACGAGGAATACAGGTGCCAGGGGCTTGTCAAATTGTTATTGCAACAGGGTGCTAACCCAAACGTGAGAGACAATGCCAGTAACTCGACTCTGGTATTGGCCATCAGGCTGGGCGCGCTGGATACTGTAGAAACCCTACTCAAGTGCCAGCGGTTAGATCTGCAGGCTGAGAAGGAGCTTATCCACACTGCGAGCGCAATGGGACATCCAGAGATTATCCGCTTGCTCCACTCAGCCCTTTCGCAGACCAACAACATCCATGTCTATAACATAAATGCTCGGGACGAACGGGGACTGACACCACTACACTATGCTAGCCTTTCGAGATGTGCACGCGCGGGTGAAGTAACAGAGGTGCTGGTCGAGCTGGGCGCAGATCCCAGCCTTACAGATGCTAGGGGCTGTACACCATATATGATGGCTTCCCTGCTTCAACACGTGCAAGTCATAGAGGCGCTACAGAGCAAACCCACATCACACAATAGCGAAACGAGAAGCATGCAAGATCTTCCTGCTTTAACCCTCGCGAAGCATGGTCACTGGGCATTGCTTCAAGAAATAATTACCATCGGGAGGGCTGACCTTACATATAAATGCATGTTGACTGGTGATACCCTGCTACACATGGCAACGGCAGCCAATGAAACTGATATCCTGCGTTTGCTTCTTATTAAAAGTAAATTGCGGTCAGACGGCACAGTCAATGAGCAAGGGCATACGCCACTGCATCTGGCAAGAAGTGTGGAAATCGCCAAGTTATTAGTCGAGTACGGCTACCAAGTTGACGCAGTGGATTTCAATAATAATACACCATTGGACATTGCGCGTCGACAGCCTAGAACCCGTAATGTCGCTCATTACCTTGAAAATGTACTGGGGATGTCCGAGAAAGAGCACCATATGGAGATACGGGAGCAAAAGACTAAAGGTGAGAGTGAGACAGTGTCGAGCGAGCTCACTGTGACTGTTCATGATCCTGGTTTGACTTCGAGCAACTCTCCAGCTTGGATAGGGCGACTGAAGCGCTGTATGTTCCACCTACAGTTCTGGACTCTTTTCTTACTTGCCATGTATGTAGTTACACTTAGTGCTTAGAATTGTCTCCGTGTTGCAATAGAAACTGATTGTTCTTTGAAAATCTTAACGTCCCCCTTACCGATCTTTTTCTGTACGAATTAAACGAACTGTTCCACATTGTTTGCAACGGCACAGTAAAAGGATTTGGTAAGATATAATCCTCTTTCCCAATTAACTGATGTAGTAGGTATCTGTCCCCGGCCCGTTTTTTTTTTTTTTTTTTTTTTGGTGGTGGTGCTGGCCGATTTATCTTGGGATGCGCTCCTAAGGTGTTGTTGATCGAACATGATCTGAATACACAGCACATTGCTATGATATGTGGTGGCCTATACAGCCATACAACTTGGACTGATTGGCTCTGTCAAGTCTATAGAGCTTATCGTGGAAGGCCTTAGGAATATGGCTCACGTGGAGATTGGTCCTGGAAGCCGTCATCACTTTTACCGCTTCACTGACCGCCTTGGTTTCTTTGTTTACTTCGTAGTCCGAGCACCTGACGTAAGGTAAGTTCTACGGATAAGCGGTAATACCACAAGCGCAGGAGCAATCCAAAGACTCACATCTCCTAATATGGGTTCTTTATTGACAAGCTTAAACAAAAGTCTTCTATAATGGTACAGCCATTACTAGTAATCCCAGTGGTTGAGCAAATATTGGCTATCATCAACAGTCTGCAAACTCCCGCAGCCTGTGGCCCTTAATCTTCCCGTTTCGTTCAGCATCAACATCAGAAAACCTTTAATTTCACACAGAACAATAGCCAGTATACTGCTGACGAATAGTGTTAAACGAAGTGCTTGTGAGAGGAGCCTGCAACCCTACCAAGCGCTGGAAGACTACCGCATTCAGGATACTGAGAAATCCCGCCCGGGCGACAGTCAAGGCATCCACCTTGCAAATAACGGGCCATTGCAAGTAACAGAGAAGCACTCCTATGCCGGTGGGCCGATACCTTCACCTCCATTGGTTAGTAGTCAGGGTTTTACGGTTTTAGGAAGTAGGATAATTTTGGTCACGTGATGTAGTCTGAATAGGTAGGTTTTCAGGACTGGATAGTGAAAAAAAAAAAAAAAAAAAAAA